GTTTAAATCTAAAGCCGGGATCCCATGGAGCGTGGAATGCCGCGCCGCACGTAATGGAATGGTATAGAAAGTGGAGAATGACGTGCCGTGAGAATGGTTGACGTGATACAAATAAACGGCGTGCCACAACCATACTGTTCCCGACGATTGACGGTCATTATCAAAGTAAAATTGGCACGGATCGTATTATTACTCCACGTCTACTGTTCATAACCAAATAAATTATTATTATAAAAATTATGTTACAGAAGTTTTTCAACCAAAGACGATAAGCAATAATAATTTTAAATTTGGAGTGGAGTGAGGAACGTAATGGTTTTACTATAATGAGGGTTATTTTTTCCGTCTCTAAGCAACTATTCTACGAGAAATCATACTTCAATCAAAATATGACTAAAGCGTTTTTTTGTAGCATTTGATCAAGTTGGTTCAATGAAGTCATTTTTTCAATATGTAGTTTTCATAATAATTGGGTGAAACTGGAAAATTGTTTAGAAAAAATTAATAAATTTGTTTGACATTTTAGTTTTATAAGTTTTTTTGTGTAATTTTATTTTGTGGGTTCTTTGTAGATAAAATTGTTTGAATCATTTTTAAAGAAAAATGACGTGTCAATTTAAAGAGGAAAAAATTCACTATGACGGGTAAAATATATAAAAATAATACATATTATATTATAAAATAATATTAACTATTCAATACAGAAATCAGAATACAAATGGGAAAACCTCAAAATTAATCGAAGATAATGTTTATTTTAAAAATGTTTCACTATATTTCTATATTTCCGCCACTAGTCAACCATATATATTTTACATAGATGTGCGCTGCTGTTACAGTGTAACACAACGATTGGTGTGTGCATATTGTATAACTGTATTAACTTTAGGAGCAATAATATGTTCACGACATAATAGTTCTTTACCGAAAAATATTTTTGAATAATTTCTTTTTAATAGCATCCAGATATTCTTAACAATTTATAACGATTAGGTACTAAAAAAATAAAAAATGTTATTTTGATGAAATGGCATGTGGTGTGCTTTCACCTACGCACAAGCCGCCACTGCTTCATATTAAGTAAATTTTAGATTTTAAGCAGAACATGAGCGAACTATTTTTCTTTATGGTTTCAGACTATTTACAACAAGACCCTCTCCAGATTAACAAACCATTTTAATATAATACAACCTTTATAATCAAACCATCGGTATAGTCGGGTATAGAGCTGAATATACTATTCGAATGATTCATCGATACAACTTTGCGTAACCTATAAAAGCGAATTCTTAAAGTAGATACGAAGACACATTACTAAATTATTCACATGCAAATTCCATCTCAAGTGTTTATCAATAGCCAATCCTAAAGAACGTATACTTGAGATTCTATATCATAGCATGAGTTATTACACAAAAATGTTTAATGAAATCGTCAAAATTGTCTTTTAGATTCTGAGTCAAACAAAAAATATAATGGTTTTACAATGATGTTTATTATTATTTATTTTTAAATTCTGAGTGTAGTGAAACATGTATTGGTTTTACTAAGATGTTTATTTTAATATTTTTTATTTTTTTATTTTATCTATATAAGGTAAAAACAAATGCATTTTGGTGTACCTAGAGACCCAAATCATCGATCGCTCGGATTATTTTAATCGCAAATTTCCTCTCGATTTGTTGTGCAAACTTTTACACCAGAAATCTTGTTCTGGTGTATCAAATGTAGGTTATTTTCTGAAAGGAAATTTTATCTCCATGGTAATTAAGGGAAGTATTTTTTTTAATTTCAAGCGGCTTTCATAATATTTGGGAAAAACCGGGATAAAATATAGAAAAAATGGAAAATGTACAAAATATATTAGTCTTTTATTACGATTTTTTTTTCTGTCGACTACTTTTCTACTAAAAATTTTGCTCCAAATTACAATGATAGCACTTTTTCTAAAATGAAATCTACCTGGAAAGGTATTTTAAAAAGGTAATTTTTCGGTTTTCCAAGGAGTTTTCCCAATAAATGGGAAAAATCGGTACATTATTAAACAAATATTATTAAAGAAAATATATAAAGCCTTTTTAATTATTTTACTATAATATAATACATACATTGTTAATAAAGCATCACTATCATCTAAACTCCGCTCAGAATCGTTTTTTCGTTACCAATGATTTATCGTTGCTTACATATATACATAAAATTACCTTAACAGTGGCTGCACCCGTCTCCATTATCCTAGGACATCTATTTTAATCTTTAAACAACTTTTATACCGAAAATTATCCTCCTATGTATAATGTGTAGTACTTTTTCTGGAAGGAAATTTTATTCAGTTGGTACTTTACATGAGTCATTTTTTTGATTTTTCGAGTGCCAAAAAAAAAATGCTTGAAAATTTAACAGAAAGTCCGTTATAAGTCGTACTTTGTGGTAAACAAATTGAGTGTAATGTAGAATTTTTTTATGAGAAAGAGAAATTTAATATTAAATTTTGACGAAAATCGTAAATATTACGGCTTTTCAAAACACGTATAACTGAACTCGGATCAAAATCGTTTTCCGTTAACCAAAAATTAATCATTACGTACAGATATACATAAAATTCCCCTTTATATACTACTTTCCTAATTTCTCACCTATATCAGTGGCCAACCCATCGTTTAATGCATGTTTGTTTTTTTATTATTAATCATGAATATCATATAAATATATTTATTTTTTTTTTGATAAACAGAAATAGTAAAAAGCTGTCCTAAAATAATGGGGACGGATTCAGCCACTGTTATAGGTAAGAAGAAGCGAAGGAAGTAGATTGAAAATTTAATGTATGTCTGTACAGGCAACGATAAAATGAATTAATTTTACCCTGTTTAAGTAAAATGGAAAAAAAATGCAAACAATTTTTTTTTGAAACATTGGTTTGAACTCTCACGTTCTCAAGGATGACAATATGCACGTTCCATCATTAGACTACGATAAACCTACTAACACATTGTCATTATTAAGTAATTTAACATAACACATATTATTATGTTCACGTAATATTAGAATTTTAAAAACCTATAATTTCGAAACTAAATCAGTCCGTTCGATTTTGACTTCACCGTCGTTCTTAAATCGAAAATATACATATTATGTTCAAAATAAAAAATTGAAAAATTAAATTTGTTTCACATAATTATTACTCCAAGGTCGTCGAAATTTGATATTAAAATTTTTTTTTAAGAAAAAATACTACATTAAGCTCAATTTTTTTTTTTTTTAACTACAGAGTATGACTTTTAATCAACCTTTTGTCAAATTTTAAAGCATTTTTATTTGGTCTAACAATGTTATCTACGGAATACTTACCAAATAGTAATTACACAAAAAACTCGCAAACTTAAAGTTTTTGAAAATTTAACCAAATCTAGAATAAGTATTTATTTACCTTTCTTGTCCAAAAATCAAAAATTGACTGCCTCAAAGGACCATCTAGATAATATTTCTTTTCAGAAATGGTATTGAACGTACATATCGATCAAGATTTCTGGTGGAATTTTCGTACACAGTATAAACAAATAAAATAAAATAAATAAACATCATAGTAAAACTAATATATCCTCGCTCCGCTCAGAATCTGAAATTGTCTCTGGTTAAATCTAAACAGGATAGTTTAAATTATTTTTAAATTGGTAAGTATTTAAAAATTTTAGATTTTGATTATTATTTGTAGTTGAGTCGTATGTTAATAAAATTCAATAATGCATTCATTATTATATTATATTTAAATTAATATATTATGTTAATTTAAATTTAAACTTTGTTTCACAAAAATGTACAGAATTCCATTTCATTTAAACATATCTGTTTGAACATACGGAAACCTTTAATATCATACTCGTTTTGGTCTCAGATAATACTAAACAATCCTTTCACTCTCCAGTGTTTACAGTATCATCGCTAAAACTTTTGAGCTTTTAAGGAGTTTTAATTTTTGGGATTGTTTTGTTATAATTCGGTTATAAATACACATAAAGACTTGAAACTTGATAATAATACTTATATTAAAGTTACTTAGACGTGGTAATATTTCCAAAATCATTGGACGACTTTTTTTTTTAATAAGCATTTTGAAACCAAATTTAAACAAAAATCGCAAAAAAAAATTACGACACTTCTAATTATGTACTATCGAACTGCTCTAAGAATCGTCTTTCGTCAAGCAACGATTTATCAATGCCTACAGATATAAATGAAATAACCTTAAGTATCCTACTTTCCAAACTTTTCACCTGCAACAGTGGCCACTCCCTTCCCCAGGTATCAGCCCTTTTTAAATACAATTTTGGTGTTTACTAAAAATATACTATTATAATTTATTAACTTTAGACAGTAGTATACAATATAGATATAATATACTAAAAAGTACTTTTAATAATCGTTATTGTTTGTGTAAGATTAAATTAGATTTTTTTTTACGAATGAATTTTAATAACAAATTTTGACAAAAATCATAAATATTACGCCTTTTAAAATATTTATAATCAAACTTCACTCGTTCAATAATTTTTGTTATTAATGGTTTATCGTTGGTTACAGGTATAAATTAAATAACTTTATTAATCCCACCGTCCCCACTACCTACAACTGTCCACATCCATCATCAATATCGGCTCTATTTTTTATGTCTTCTACTAGAAATTTTTCCTTAATAGAAAAACAACAGGAACCTTTTTTGTTGTCCAATGGATGTAATTAGTAGGAAAAAATTTTGTATTTTTAATTTTCCGTGTATTTTTCTTAATGATTAATTAATCATTACCGGAAAAAAAATTAGCTTTTTATTCAATTTAACATAAAATCCTTTGATCAACCGACAATTAATATTGAAAATGCGATTAGATTATTTTAAATTCTAAGTGTTTTATTTATATTAATAATTGAGTGTACTTTAATGTAATATATATATATATATATAAAAGCTTATCTAAGTATAATAATAATAAAAAAAAACTCCCTATTTAAATTGCGTACACCGACTAATTATTTGGCTTATTTGTATTCTGTAATTATTTAAAGTGACTCGTTTAACTTTCTAAATAGTATTGTTTTATACTCGGTTTAAATTATGTTTAAGTACGTACTTTTGTGCATTGTAATTTTGTTCAGTGTTTACTCAACTGAGCAAGCAGGATTTTCAGTAAAAGATCGCATACAAAAAGTTAATCAACTTGCTAAAACATGGAAGGTAATATTATAATAATTATATTAATTTCTATAAAATGACATATAAATAATAATAATACTAATAATGAAATACATTCATAGATTTTAAGTAGATTGACGAGGTTAGTTTTATAAAAAAATAAATAACTTTTTATCATATATAAATATTATTATTATTATTTTTTTTTTTTTTTGAAATAAAGGTTAGGTTGCATCAACTAACTGAAAGCAAATTGTTAGTCACTTTAAATCTCTATGAATATTATCATGAATAAAATCGTTAACAAATAAGTATCTTTTATCTTAAGAAAAAAATCGATTAAATAGTTATGGCACAAAATCTGAACTTGTCCAACCAGAACGATTCTCTAATTCGTGACTAAATCTAAAATATATTTAGTCACGAAGTATCTACTAAGTCATTCATTATTTGACGTCTTAAAAATTTGTCGATTTATACGTCAATAATTTAGAAGACTTTATATTCAATAACCATCCAAACCAAATGGATTTAAACTGTCACTCATATTTTTGTATATAATGTAAAATGTTGTATTTCAATTTGGTTTTTATATTCTTCGATACTTAAAATTTGATCTATGAATATTATAAAAAAAAAAAAAACAACATTAAAAATAATAACGAATAAATTGTGAATTTTAATCTTCATGCCGACAAAAATAAAAAAATACTCGTATGTAATACCTACAATATATATAATATCTTCTCTTTTGGTCAACTAAATCACAATCGACGACCTCCATTAAGGACCTTTAAAAGGTAACTTAAATCTCTAGCTACATAACTGATATTATGTTAATGTTTTCAATCTTTATAAGTCTGGTGAACTTATAAAATACAGAATTTTAAGAAGTTAAGTTTAAAAAGAAAAATTTAAAAGAAATCTGTATACATGTATAATATGTATTATATACACATTCTAGGCTCAACAACATTTCTCTCCGAGAGCGCTCAAAGAATTCATACAGACGTTAGGATCGCTGGTCCTTAAACGTATTCCTAAAAAACTAATAAAAGAAAATGATCCATTATATATAAATGATATCCATATCCCACCAACGTTCGATGCAAGAATACAATGGAGTAATTGTACAACAATTGGAGAGGTCCGAGAACAGGGTAAATGCGGAAATTGCTGGGTGATTATTAAACATATTTCGTTTTAATGAGATTAATATTTATTTACTCCATAATGATGTATTATCGTATTCAAATGTATAGGCTCAAGCCACTGCAGGAGCATTTTCAGACAGATTGTGTATAGGGACAAACGGGCAATTTAACAAACTTATATCCACCGAAGAGTTGACGTTTTGTTGTTATAGTTGTGGTATTGGGTGTCATGGAGGCAACCCAATCTTAGCTTGGCAATACTTCAAAAGACGCGGTGTAGTCACCGGAGGAAATTATAATACAACTGATGTAAGTATTATATTAAGTTTCACGGTTAAAATATCATAGGTATATGACAAAACAAAAATTAATTTAAAATCGTTTCTAAAGGGATGTCAACCGTACAAAGTACCTCCATGTCAAATAGACGACCAAGGATTGTATTCATGCAATGAACAACCAAAGGAAAAACATCACAAATGTATCAAAGGTTGTTATGGAGATACGTCGATCGACTTTAATAATAATCATTGGAAAAGTATGCAATATAATACTTCTTTACATAGCTTTATTATACATAATAAATAATAATTATCTATTGATTACTATATTATTACTATTGTTATTTATGGTTTTGTGTACTTCCAGCTAAAAATGCATATTATCTCTCTTATGGAAATATGCAAAAGGATGTTTTAGCGTATGGACCAATTGAGACTTCATTGGAAATATACGACGATTTTCCTCATTATAAATCAGGTAAACAACACAAGATATGAATATACTACTAATAATTTTATTTAAACTTTTGTATAAACTTATTGTTATAAGGTATTTACCAGAAGACTCCGGGTGCCAAAAGGCTCGGAGCACATGCCGTCAAGTTAATTGGTTGGGGTGAAGAAAACGGTGTACCATATTGGTTGCTGGTTAATTCATGGAGTAAAAACTGGGGTGATCGTGGACTGTTTAAAATTATTCGAGGGCAGAACGAATGTGGGATTGAAACTGGCCCAACTGCGGGCGAACCATTAGTTTAAAACGGATATTATTATAATAGACTGTACAACTATGTGTAACAAAATATATATTAAAATCAACATAATTATTATCTTACTTATTGGATTTTATTAATATGTGATTTAACTATAAATATATAATTTATATTAAATATCCTGTTAGGTTGAGTCAGTGAAAATATTTAATGTGGACGATGAAGGTAGTGATGAATGTTGATTTAGGTGGCTATAAATTAAATTAGAAATAGAAGATAAATAATTTGTATAACAAATTCGCCGTCATATAACCACTAACGTCGTCCAAACAACATACTATTCTCATTCCATCACTCACTTTTCATCGATACCGCTACTAGAAAGTCCTTTAATTTCAATGGATTATGCGTTGTCTAAACGGTCCTGGTCTGGGTTGGTTCCTTTTTTTAAAATATTAATATGAACTGGGCTGATCCGGGCTCTTAAAAAAAAATTGTAAACTTGGTTTAAATTGGTCTGGAATGAAAATATATTTTAGGAATTGGTCTAACCCGGTTAAACTATTTGTCTTAAATATTTGGTCTGGTCCAATCCCATTTTATAGGACCGGGCTGTTCTCTATTTTTTATATTGATCGAAATGTATCTATATTCAACAACCACAAAATAGGTGATACAGTCGCTCAATAACGTTGAATTCCGTTTTGTTTTTTGTTGTTATCTATCCGACCACAATGCAGCGATGGTGATTTTATTCATCATTGGCGAAATTGAGGCCTGGGATCCATTTAACAACAATGATCTGTTAATTTCCAAACTTTGAAGTAGGTTAAACTATTTCATTTACTTTGACTGGTAAAATTTAAAGTTTCACTTACATTTGTTTAATTATTATTATGGGTAATAGTTACACCAAAAATATTCAAGTTCTGAAATATATTTTTGTATTAAAAATTATGATTTGAGGAAACAATATAAAAGCTAAACTTACTCAGCTTGAACACATTTCATTATTGTATTATTATAATAAAATTTACATGAGGTATTATTTTAATGGTACTCATTTAGGGCAGAAGGAGGAGATTGGGGTAGTCAATAGGTGTCCATGTGTTCAAAAACCAAAACGAAATTGTAAAAAATGGAACTTGATAAGTTGAACACCTTCATAAACCGAAATAAATGTTGTTCCCTTACATGTTTATATATTAATTAAAAACTAATACAAACATACATATTAAAAACTCAAATTCAAAGTCAAATTTTTCTAGGAAACTTTAAAAAGTAGAAAAAAATTGCATTTTGCTTGAATTTTGACTTATCTAGATTTCAGTGTAACTACAATTAAATACGGTTTTAAAATAATTATTCTTGTATGCCTGAGCTAGAGAATAAATTATAGTCATTTATACTATTGTGACATCTAATTGTGTCTTTCCGCATTTGGTTAAAACTTTAATTTCTAAATTGTGACTAAATAACTTTAATATTTTTATAGTTGAAATTACTTAAAATTGAGGATTAAGTATTATCAAATTTACAAGAATTTAAAAATTCTTAGTTGATTTGCATGTCTTATACTTGACTCATTGGTGGCATTTTTTCCAAAGAAATAAACCACAAACTGAAACTCACTAAATTACCATGAAATTTGCAAAGTACCAGATGGATGCATTTTACAATTTTGAATTACCTTAATTTAGCAATAGTGTAGCTTACTCATAACATTGTATTCAACTTGTAAAACAACTACTAGGGGACAGTTATACAGTGGTTATACATGGTGGTTGCAGTGTTTGGTTTCATAACAACCAACAAAACTCATCTACAAGTCACTCTGTTCTCTGTAATTATTAATTATTTGAACATTTAATTTTTGTGTGAAAAGAAACTAACATACACTTGATATTACAGTTGAGTCTTTTAGACATTCATAACCAGAAGTACTTGTCTGTAATTTGATGGCACGCAACAAAATACTAGCTGTCATTGGAAGATTCTAAGTTAATAAAAAAAATTGAAACCGCCTGATTAAAAGTAGGTACCCTTATTTATCAATATCTATAATTATTCCTATATGGTAACAATTATATTTTATTTAGATCTAACTGTTCAAATGGTCCTGTTACTATGAGTAAATAGCATTCTGATTGTGCTGGGGAAATTAAAAACAATGCATTAATAAAATAAATAACAAATTTACAAATTTATTCAGGGATTCAATTTATAATTAGATTAATTAACTAAGAAGTTCAATTCTATAATTTTCTTTTGTTTAATTGTACTTTTTTAAGCATATTCTTGTAGTTTTAAGTTTTAACATTTTTTATGAAATAATGATTTTTTTCAAAGAAATAATTCTTATAGAGAAATTTTTATGTTACCATTTTCGAAATTTCTAATCTATAGATAACACTAAATGCGTTACAATACTTAACTTAAATTCAATAACATTGACAATTTTTTTTTAAATTTTAATTATTTGAAATGTAAAATAAGTAATAATGAATACCTATTTGCTATGGATTGTATAATACAAAAACATGATTATAATGTACTGAAATTAAATGAATGAAATAACTTCAGACTTCAAGCACTTCTTGTTGTAAAATGTATGGTTTTAACTGAAATCTAATGTTTAATCAATTTTTATAATTTAACATATTATTATTTATTGTTTTAAAAGTTGGGGTTTTGTAATGTATTAAGTTAATTTGATTTTAGTTTTTCATTAAATTCACTTATCAAGAATTATATAACATGAACACTAAAGAACTAAAAAAAAAACATGGTACTTTCTAACTTTTAACTAATACTATACTTTTTTAAGATTAATCAAGCAAATTCAAACTAAATTTAGTTATCATTATTTTATAACATAATTTTTATTCTAATTTATATAACTTTTTGAAACCTTGTAATTAATTATATTTAAATGATGAATTCAGTCTGATGGATGTTTTCTATTAGTTGGCTGTTATCAGAAATTATGAACACCATTTATTGTTCAAATAATTTGATTAACTATAGTAAATTTTTACACTTCCTTTGAAAATCTTGAATATTTTTAATATTATTTATTAGTACACATTAGGTCATAATTTTACTATTTTTTATTATATTATATTATACTTTTATTATATTTTATTTTATATTACTACTAGTTTTTTAATAGCCTTTTGTCATAGGTGCAAAATCATAATTTGAACTATTCTAAAATATGCATAAAAAGATGGAAGCCTTGTAATATGATAATTAAGCTAATTATTATGTTTGATAAGTCAAAGTATGTGTTGAAAAAGTTATTTAATGATCTGAAAGCATTTAAAGATTGGTTTTATGCAAGTATTGAGAAGTTAGCCTTAGTTATACAAAAATTATAAATTAATAAGGATAGCCAAAATTTTGTTGTAAATAATCAATGTGAACTTTAATATCATCCTTGAAATTGTATACTGTATAATTCAGAAATATTAATGATTTAGTGTTAAATAATATAAACAGTTTTAAAAAAATCATTTTAATTCAAAAATATCAATTGAGGGGCTGGGTACATATTCACAGAAATGTTCTTTTTGCTTAAAATGTTTTTTTGAACTCAGCAACCTGTACACTTAATGTGTATACAATTTTAACACTGTAGCACTGCAGCCTTTATGTGATTGTGCATAAATGCCTTTCTTGCATAGAACCACATACTATGTACATTATATTTATAAATAATATCATTTTATTTTTCAATGTAGGATTTTCAAAGGGAGTCATAAGCAATGAAAGGCAGAGGAAAAAAGTTGCCAAGCTTGTGATGCTCATGATTAGATTGTTTGAAGTAATAAAAATAGGGACTGCATTTTGTCCAGATCAGTGACATAGGAGGCCAGTGTCAACAGGTGGTAATATATCAAACTATATTACATTTCAATAAATAAATAATTAAATACATGTCATAACCACTAGAGCATTTTCGCTTATTATGTATGATTATAATAATTTTTAAAAATTTTTTTTTTTATCAGATGAAAAAAGAGCTCCAATATTATATCTTATATCGCAATAGAGCAGCAAAGTCTACTTTTATAGAACGAGATTTACCAACTACGAGAGCTCAAAATTAGTTATTAGTGAAATTTTATATTTGGCCCTTCCTTGTAACTTATTGAACTGTATTTAATAAAATAACTAAAATTATAGACCCATGTTCTATTTTCATTTCATAACATAGTATTTTTTAAGTATGAGGTAATTTTTCTCTATTAGTGGTTTTAATCGAATGAGAAGAAGGTTTTCAAAGAGCTTCGATAAACTTAGTAAAAGCGATATTGGTCTGTATGAATAATAAAACTAGGGGCTTACCTGGTTTCAATAACATAATCACTTGTGCCTTTTTTCATTGCTTTGGGGCACATTTTTTTCATAGAATGTAAAATTCTTTGGCAGTTCTTTATGTATGCATGGACTGATTTAATTGAAACCGAGTGTCTTTTTTGGGTTGATATTAGTTATAATTCCATTTTTTGCCACTTCAAAAATGTTATTTGTTAGTTTTTCTTCTGCCTCTACAATATCAGATATAACACCTCATTGAAAAATATTATAGCTTTTTCTAAAGTACTCCTGAAGAGATCCCAGTTTGTTTTTTTAGTTTGTCAGAAAGATTTTTCGTTCCTTCATTATGATGTTTGAGCTTAATGAAAATAACAGGAGAATGTGGTGAGACATTAGTTCTATTAGAACTTCAAAATAATTGGAAGTAATATCTATAATAACAAAGAAGTCAAGTAGATCAGAGATTTTATTTGGAGCTGCAACATGTGAATGAAGTTTTTCGTCCAAGAGATGGTTGAAAATGGGCTAGGAGGCAAAATATTACAGCAACGCTTTTTAATTTAAGTATATTAAATATTGAGAGAGACCTAGCTAATGACATTGTTTCAGATGAAATATTGAACCCATTTGCTGATATCAATAGGAAATTATGTTCTCTTTAAATTCTTTTAATTCGACTCTTTAAATTTTAATATAACAAAAAATAAAATGTAACTTTTTTTAATTGAAAAATATATAAATTTATTTATAGCACTGTTAAACCCATTATTTTTTATTTTTGTTAAATTTTGAGTATATTCAAATTCAGATTTTTGCAATTTTTAAGTGTAATTAAAGTCGATATTTTAAAATATTTAGATTTTTCCAAACATTTAAGGAGTATTTTGAAGTGATAGTAACTTTGGTTTTTCAGATGAGAACCTAAAAATTCCATAAATAAATACCTATTAATTAAATAAATTTTGATGTCAACATTTTTAATTTCCATCAACTCGTTAGCAAGATATTCCACTTTTAAGTTTAAGTAGGGGGAAAGTAGTGGAGTATAATTTGTGTGACACACAGCACTTGGAGTTTTATGAGTGCTCCACTACTCTCTTCCTACCTAAACTTAAAAGTGAAGTAACTCGTCAATGGTTGACAGAAATTAAACATTTTAAAACCAAAATGTATTTAAAGTAATACTTCTTCTATGTATGCGATTTTTAACATAGATTCTCATTTGGAAAACTAAAGTTGGTATCGCTACAGGTTATTCCTTAAATGTGAAAAATCTAATTATAGTAAAATATCAGCTTTAACTATAATTAAAAATTTCAAAAATCAGAATTTAAATGTATGCAAAATTTAACAAAAAAAATAGGGTGAAACACTTAGTGAATAACCCTGTTTTTACATGTATATATTTTTATTTTAACAAACACAAACTAAGGTTATTTATATTTTTTATGCATTATTGAACCTAAAATAATGTTTAAGCAAATATCTATTTAATACAAAAGATGTGTATTGTACTTTTAATCAAAATTGTTTTTTAAAAAGATATTATATTCTATATTTTACAGATTGTATAAAATGATATAGATTAGTATAACATACAATCTTGCTAAAGTATTAAAATATACATAATAATAAGAGTTACCTACTATAAAAATATTAAATCAAGTTTATATGATGTAGTTTAAAAAATAAATTTTTTTTTAATATAAAAGAGAATAATTATGTAATAATATAATATGTTATGATGAAGTATGTGAAAAATACTAATACATTTATGTAAATGGTTATTAGAAAATTTAGTTACATAATACTTTTATGAACGAATGAATGAATAATTGAATGGGTGCAATCAACTTAACTTTTAATATTTAGCTTTAATATTTTAATTTAAAACATTCATCTTCATTCAGTATCAATATCAAATAATTCATTTAAACATATATCCTATTTAAAAATAGGATTCTTCCTATTTTAGAAGATATATAGTCCCATTAACTACATATTTTTATGTAAAAGAAAAACTGAAGCAAATATAATATGGAATAACATTAAAAAAAGCATAATATTTGTTTTGTAAAACAATAAAAACCAAACTAACTGGAATGTGGATGAAGATAATATTTTCAATAATTAATATAATCATGTACAATGATGTGATAAATGACACTTAAAAAGAATGGCAGAAAAATTGTGTTCCTGTTGAAGAGAGATAGTGTGGTATCTATAGAGTATTTGCAAAAAAATAATATATTTACTAAGAATTTTTGCCAGATTATAATATAATACTATAATATTATCTACTAATGTGTGGAACTTATGCAGCAACTGGGAGAATATTGTCTATTATAAATGTATTATGGTTAATAAAAAAATCAATTCCTAGTCTATATTGTTTAGGCAATAATGATTATAAAATCATTTTAATATCTTTTATACTACTATAATTATTAATACATTAAGTTAAAAAAAAAAGAATAAAAGATTACAATAAAGAATATGACTTTGAAATTTCCCAAAAAAAATGATCTGCAAACAAGTGTTTTATTAAAATATTAAACTAATTGGAAATTAATTTAATTATTACAATAAAATATAAAAATTGTTTGAAAAAAAAAATGTGGAAGTCTTTTTCTTGTTAGAGTAAACCCCAGTATTGTTTGTCCAGTTTTATGATAAATATGGTAACACCAACTTATGTAACTAACTGTAATGATATTCAATATTTGTTTTCATTATTGGTGTTTACTGTATTTTTTTATAATATGTTGCTTGTCCATGCTGTTAAGATACTATCTGCTTTCTTCAAAGTTTCATCTTTCTGTAAATCAAAATAATTAAGTAATATTTAAATAATAAAATTAATATATTTAAAAAAATTTACCTTAAAGAAACAAAATCGTGTATAACTTTCAGCTGTTGGTCTGCTGTTTTCTGAGAAAAATACTGAATATGGCATACATTGAAATTTAATATTTTTGGACAGCCACTTTGTAAACTGAAAGTCTTTGTATTTGTCAGTTTCTGAACTTAAATCCAATTTACTTTCTAAACAAACATGAAATATATAAAATTAGTGTTACAAAAAAATAAATATATTTTAGCAGATATTCTAACAAACCTAATTTTGACCAGTCAGCCACCATAAAATATCCACCATCTGGTATGATTGGTTTAAAACCATTTTTTTGCAATACTTTGGAAAGATATTCCATTTTTGGTTTCAATTCATGGGATAAATTTTGGAAATAACTGTCTGGGGTATCCAAGAGATTGATTTCATGTTCAAAACCTCGTGCGACTGCTTCCTGGACTGTTGTTGCACATGTATAGATGGCTGTTTGGTGCACAACAAACAGATTTTTCATAAGATTTGATGGACCATAGGCCCATCCGAGTTTCCATCCTGTCATACTGAATGTCTTTCCAGCAGACCCAATTGTAATGGTTCTTTCCCACATATCAGGCAATGTTGCTGAAAAATTGTTTAAAAATGTTTGTAAATTGGATGGATTTATTTAATTCTGGCTGATATACATTCAAATGTAAAATTTTAATCAATTAAATTTGTGTCATTTGTTGTTTTGACAAAGCTGGGCATTAACTAATTAGAAGTTGAAGTTAAGTTAGATAGTTACTTAAAAAGTAACAAAAAGAAACTATCTATAAAATATTGAGTATTTTCAATTTTATTATATTCAGTAGCAAATTATAGTCGGCCTTAGATCATATACTGATATGTATAATATGATCTTAGTGGGCTTCTATTCTAATGTTTTTATATATATATATATATATATATATATATATATATGTCTATGTCAGTAGTAATTGGTAACCGGTAACCATGAGGCATTATAAACATATAGCCTATAGCTTATTATAATATCATGCCTGTGGCCTATTTTTATAATACAACCAATATATGCAATATAGGTAATATTATACTATATTATATTATTATGTATCATACATTAATTTTTCATCTTATCATGAAAGTTTATTTGTTTATATTTATATTATTATGATTATGTCAATATGAAAAAATATAGAGTTACACTGTTTGTATATTTCTTATTTTTTTGTTCTAATAACTGATTCCAATTAATTTCCAAGAAATAAAAGTAATTACCTACCTATATGAAACATTTGATCAGTTCAATTTAATTTTTCAACCATCACTAATAATTTTAGTTAGTTACCTACTTGATAATTAATTTGCATAGTACTTTACATTTAAACTGGTTTTTTTCAATTTATATTTTAAACTAAAAAAAAAAAAAAAAAATAATTTAACTTTCTACACTAAGTTATTATTTTCACCTAACTTTTAACTAAGTTAGAAATTTGGAAAATTTTAAAAACTAACTTATATTCTAACTTAGATTTTATATTAAACTAACTTAACTTTAGCTAGTTGAAAATAAATGACTAATAACTTGTCCACCTAGCTTTGTATTTTGATGTGTGTCACCAGCCCACATTTTAAATTTAATTTTTTTTTTCATTCAACTTCTCTGTATTTATTTGTATGACTATTCCCAAAATCAATATTACTCCCTTCCCAGTAAAAAGTCAAAATATAAGCTATTTGTAGCCCTTAAATTGAAAATTTGATGTTACCAAATAATTAGTATGTGATGGGTCCTTAACTTACAATTTGTAAAATATATAATACATATTTTTACATGAGAACAACTACTCATCACTCCCCCCCGCCTATTACAGTCAAATTTGAGTTACTCACTATTTTTGTAAAGTACATAACATATTAATTTTTTTCGAAATCAATATATTTAATTACATAATATAACAAGTATCTACAATAATATATAATTTCAGCTACTTCTTATAATATATTGTGTATTACTTGTTATGTTTATGTTACTACTTTATATCTTGTTAAAAAAGCTTTTTGGCTTCTATTTAATAAAATAATGCATTTTGCAGTGGCACAATCAATAACTTTTAAGGGGGTATCTGCTAGTATTTTTTTTTTAAGTTAATTTTTAAAATTACTACTATTTAATATTTACTATACCTATTATATTACACTACCAATAGATTGAAAAACGTACACCACATTAGATACAAATCTCAAATAATTGTGACATCATATTTTGTTGTTAATTAAGAATTGTTAAGGCATTTTACATAATTATTACACTTATTACAATATTTGAGAAAAATATACAAAAAATAAAGAAGATGAAACTGTTAAATGTAAATACATTGTATACTGTGTAGAAAAAAAAAAGTTCAAAACAAAATAAACAAAATCAACAATGTTTATTCAAAATATTATTTACCTACAAATCTAATTTAACAATATATATATAAAAAAAATGTTTACATGTTTTTGTTTATTATGATAGCTTTAACTTAACTGGACCTATCTCAAAAAATGTAATTAAATTCAATCATTTAAGTATAGGTACCAACATTATAATGATTGTAATATTTATTTATTTATGTACTTCTACTTATTTTTCTATTTATGTATCATATTAAATCCTCTAAAAAAGTGAATTTCAAATGTTTAAAACTTGAGTAATTTAATAGGTTTAGACTTATAAAAATACAAATATAATAATTCATAAAAAAGTTAGGTCCTAAAGGGAAAATGTGGCTAGCTAAGTTGTCAACAGAAATAGCAAACACAAGTGTTATACCGAAACTATGGAGAGAAATAAAAGTAATAGCCATTGTAAAACCGGGAAAGCGAACAAATGATGCACACAATTATAGACCAATATCGTTATTATCAACAGTCTATAGGTATTCGAAAGACTTTTATTACAAAGATTACAACCAATTATAGAAAAGGTACTGTCAATAGAACAGGCTAGATTTAGGAAGAATAGAATCTGCTGTGACCAAGTGTTGGCCTTTACCACACATGTAGAAAACGGTTTCCAGAGCAGTCTTCTTTGACCTGTCCTCAGCGTATGACACGGTCTGGAAGAGAGGATTACTACTCAAGATGGCTAAAATAGTAAAATGCAAAAAGACACAACAACTATTGGAATGCATGCTATTGAACAGAAAATTAAAAGTTTTTCTCAAGGGTAAAGCCAGCAAAAACAGATACCTCCAAAATAGATTGCCTCAAGGCTACGCGCTTTTGCCAGTGCTCTTCAGTTCCGACATTTCCGACATAACAGAAACAATCGCAAGGAAATTCATGTATGCAGATGACATAGCACTGGTTGCCCAAGCTTTAGATACTTTATAATCAGTAGAAACCATACTAAATCAAGACCACAACAAATTACACATTTATTTCAAAAGATGGTACCTAACCTTAAACCCGAACAAAATAGTGGCACTGGTCTATAAATAATAGGGAAGCAAATAGGCAGTTAAAAATACAAATTAATGACATTGACATACCAAGCAAAGAATGCCCTATATATCTTGGAATAAAAATCAATAGAGCCTCGACATTTAAAAAACACCTAGAAGGATTAAAAAATAAACTAGAACCAAGAAATAATATTATTTTAAAACTAGCAGGATCGACCTGGGCAACAGTTTTATGTGTATCAGCATTAGCCCTGGTATACAACGTAGCTGAACACTGTGCTCCAGTTTGGTTCAGGAGTTCACATTGCAAAAAGGTGGACACGGAGTTAAACCAAACAATGTGAATTATTACAGGTACAATAAGAACGACTGAAGTACAATGGTTACCGGTGTTGGAGAATATAGCCCCACCGGATCTACGTAGATTGATGCATACTGAATGCATAGTGGACAAGATTAAAAGAAACCCTAAACTACCATTATATGGAGATATTACTACGCACCCTCATAAAAGGCTTAAATTGAGACACCCAATATGGGACCTTACATTTCCAGTAGAAGCTCTATCGATAACATGGAAAATAGGATGGAAAGACTCAGGTATGCGAGGAGTTACCTTGATTAAAAATCCAGAAACAAGAAACCCGGGTTTTGATCTTCCACGGAAGCTATGTGTAACAAATGTATATGAAAGAAAAACATTTATGGCCAAATAAAAACCAATTGAAAATAATTCTATAAATGACAGCTTAAAGTGTCATCCTTGTTAAACACTTTCTTGTGGGTTTTAGTACATATGAATTTTCATACTAATGACATACAATTGGAATAAAAAAAAAACTTTTCAAATGGGGGGAAAATTATTACTATAATGAGAAGTTATGTTTTAGAATATTAATAAATTTAATTTTAAATTTTTATTAAGGTGCACCCAAAATTAATATTAAATCTCTATAAAACATTGTTTTTCATATTTTTTCTGTGTATATTTCTAACATAAATATAACAACTATGTGTTTAATTTATATAAAAAAAACAAATTACCAATTCTAATATGTTTAGATGGTTCATAAACCAACCATTCATAAACTTCGTCTGATACAACAAGAACATTGTGTTTTTTGGCCAAATCAGCAATCATCGTCAGCTCATCATAATCAAATATTTTTCCTAGTGGATTATGTGGTGTATTTAAAATAATGAGTTTGGTTTTAGAATTGAACAGCGATTCCAATTCTGCTGGGTCGAGTTTCCAATCACTTGAATGTGAAACTGGCGCATCAGGTTTGGTCTACAAAAATTAAGAGTAATTAGTATAAACAGCTGACACTGTATATAATTTAATATTTTTACATTTCTCAATGGTATAAATCTAGGAGTGCCACCCGCAATACGTATCAATGGTTCATAACAATCAAAAAAGGGTTCGATGATAATAGCTTCGTCTCCTTCATTTATGTTACCTTGAACCACACAAAACAATGCTTCATATGCACCCACTGTCACCAATACTTCTTCCATAGGGTTAATTTCACGGTTTATTAAACTCGAATATAGTTTAGACAATACATTCACAAGACGTACATGTCCCTAAAGAAAAAAATGTAATTATTGCTTTGTAAGTGTTGTTTATTAAATAACTTATAGCATGTATTACCAATCCTCGTGTATATTGATGAAAATATAAGTTCTTTTCGGACGCCACTTCAGCAAGAAAATTGGTAATCCGTGCAGGAGGTTCATAATCTGGAAATCCTTGTCCTAAATTCAAAGGTTTGGTAATGGCAGCCAATTGGTTATATTCAATCCTGTAACACAAAGAAACTAATACTTAAAAATAATAATTTATTATGACAATATTATTATTTTTAAATTAAAAAGTAAAATTGAATACAGATTTATAATATTTTATTTTTCCATAAGTATAATGCACATATACCAAATTTAATATAGGTATAAGAGTTCTACGAGATACAAACCCTGTAAAAAATATATATTAAGGTTTTAATCGTTCTGATATCATTAAAAACATTACAAATTTCTATATTTAATTATATACAGATATACAATTATATATATATATATATATATATATTATATATTTTTATATCTATATAATTTTTATACGGATATAAAAATTTAAATTACCTATAATAATGTTATATAAAAAAATAAGTTTGTATAATATACCAACCAATTTATGCAATTTCCCATTTAAAAATCTTTTATCTAAAACCGAGAAACTTACCAAACATTGTATGCACCAGATTCATATTTAGATGACAATTTGAACTTGTCCATATTATTATTATTTTTTTGACAATCGGTAATTGAAGATAATTTTTTTTTTAACGTATGTAGAAATTGTAGTCGTCTGACACTTGAAGACAAAATTGTCCTAGAAAAAAAAAATTGTCCAATATTTTATTACACAGGTTTACAGTAAAGAAACTTATTAATAAAAAAAAAAAAAAAGAACAATAAGCATGTGTCCTGCAGACAAATTTAAACCAGATAAACCAAGTTCGCGAGCACTAAAAACTGTCAAGTACCTACCTATCAACAAATAATTGTTTGAAAAATTAAATACAATCAAACAGCCCTGATGACACAAGTAGAATGGAATAACGATTCAATAGATGTACTGACTACGATCGGTAGTGTGACGCAGTATTATAGTATTATCATTGATTGCGGCCTGGTGTAAAATAATTACGCTGTACAACACATTATAATACTAGGTACTTACAATAATTATTGATAAAACGAAATTATTGGTGGTTGATTAAAAACGAGTATTTATAAATTAATTGTTATTAAAATATAGTGACCTATTTAGTAAGAGATACATGATAAAATTACAGTAGAGGAAAAAATTGACATTGAAGGCATCATACCTAATTACTCACATAATATTGATGGCGGTGGTATTATGCTGTTGTCGGAGGGAATAGCAATAGTAACTTTTAATCTCGATTAGTAGAGATTTCACGAACAATAATAATACTATTATAATACGAGGACGAATTTTTCGGTTTTATCAGTTGATATTATACAAATTTATATTGAAACATTGGTACGTAATCGCTTGACCCGACCGACCGGCAAAACAGTAAATCAGAGATTCACAGACGAATGAAACGACGTATTATTATAATTTGTTACAGCGTAACGTGCCATAACAATAATTATTATTCAACGTCCGACGAATTTAAAAACAATAGATTATACGTCGTACGTCGAGTCGTCCCGTTAACAACAAATTACCGGCCATGAGATAACAAGTACCGGTACGGCGCGTTTTTTTTTTTTTCATGGTAGGTACCCTACCACCGCGCCACAGTCGGGCTGCGAGGTACCTAGTCTGTTTTTGAAATTGTATCTTAAAAACTTGATAATAATACTAGATCCCTTCCGGAGCAATGTTTTGTTGGCAGCATTTTTTTTTCTTTTCCGGGGTGGATAATGAAGAAAAGAAGATCCAGTGGAATAGAGTAAAGCATTAAAGCATCTAATGTTTTCAATTTACTCGGTATATTTGGAATTAAGAAGTTTTATTGTAAACTGTTTAGAGGTTCTCTTAACTCTTTTTTCGCGTGGGTACTACTTAGGCATTATATGGAACTGTCACTTATAACTAAAAACAAAATGACATACTTCGCACGATGTGTGGACCACTGTTGTCAGTGAGAAGTTGCGAAGGTAGAGGGGAAATGTAACATATAATGCAATTGTACGCGACGATTAATCATTGCTAACGAAAAAACGATTCTGAGTGGAGATCGGTTGATAGTGTTCCTTCGTCAACAATATGTATGTCATATTATGGTAAAATAATAACATTTGTGTTACATATTTTATTTAATTATCTATATATATATAATTCAAATACTACTGACTCACTGATCGCTGTATCTCAAAAACTACTCAACGTACGCACTTGAAATTCGGACTAGTGGTTCTTCGAATACTTTCACCGTGAATTAAGAAAGGATTTTTGAAAATTCAACTCCCAAGGGGGTAAAATAGGGGTTTTTAGGTATATTTGGTACGAATATCTAAATGCTTATTAATTTATTTTTGTTGATTCTTCAAGGGTTACCTTGATGTTACGGAAAAAAAAACTACTATATAGTTATTATTATTTATATTATTACTAATAACTAATAACGACGGTGATTAAATATTATCGTAGTTTATCGTACCTTACCTATCTAATCTAAACTTTAATCGTTTTACCAAAATAAACCTCTGCAATGGGTAAACAGTTGTTGAAAACGAATAAAACGTAGTCAGTTGGAATATGGGTCCCGTAAAGTATAAGTGTTAGTCGATCGCCGACAAAAAAAAAGTGATTGCGGCAGTTGAAGCCGGTGAAAAAAAAAGATGTTGTTCTACATTTTTGTATCCCAGCTTCTACGCTTCAATCAGCCAATCAGCAAAATGATGACAATGATGACGAGGAAGAGGAGACGGAGGTTCCTGTAATATCGTTGAAAGAAGTAAAATCTTTTATGTCAGGATCGTGTACATTTTTTGAGGAATCTGAAATGGACGAAAAAAAAGCGATACAATTTTCGTTGCTATCAATCAGTTAAATAACGCTATGGACCAAATTGGGGCCAACAATTTATCGCAAAAAAATTAACAAATTTTTTAAGATATAAAATATAATATTTCAATTTAATTTTGTATAATAAATAAATATCAATTAATAAACGTAAATATAATAATATGTATAATACATAAATATCAAAATATATGTGATACATACAATTTTTTACCTCTCTTTAATTTGAATAATTTTTTTCCCTCGATTATTCGAAGACTCGATAAATCGAAAACCTCTATAAATCGAATTTTTAGCTCGGTCCCCTGAATTTCGAATTATCCAGTGACTACTGTATATTATATTAAAGCAGCCTGTTTTATACATTTTCAAAAAAAAAAAAAAACAATAAATAAATACAAAATTCACGCATTTTATTAGCATTTATATTTTATTATATTGTGTATATTATTATTAAATATGTTATACAGCAAATTGGTAAATTTCTAACAACATCTCCTTATTATTTGGCTGACTCCAATAAATAATATTTAGAGTCTGATCTCAATGTTAGTAACATTTAGATAATATGTATTGCTCAGCTAGCTTCTAATAACGAAATTGTTGTTAATATGTAATTTTATCGATTTTTATTCAAAATAGAATACTTTTTATAATAAATTATATGTTTTGTTGTTTTTTTTTTTTATAAAAATTATGCAAAAGTAATTTTGTTTTATTAATGAGTAATAGTAATCAGTATATTGAACATCTGTTTCATTTATCACAAGTTGGAGGTGGATTTTGATGCACCAGAAAACTTTAATATATTTTCTCTAAAATTTTAAAATATGCTTATAAAATGCCCGATAAAACGTCATTATATACCCAAAAATGTAAAACTAAGTACAAAAACATTAAAGCATGTAACAATATATCAAATAATATTTACTAAAACTGTTAAAAACTTAAAATTTTAATACAAATTTTATTAATGGATGAATAATAAATAAAAAATGTATTAAAAATGTGCTATGAAAAAAATAACTGGGTCTTCTTCTATTATTGATGATTTTCTTTTATTATTGATTTAATCTGAAAATCGAAATTATTGTATAAAATTATTAGTTTTTTTTTTTTTTTTTAAATAAATTTGTTTGGTTTTACTTATTTAAATGTGCATTACATCGAATAATACATATAGTTTTTTTTTAAAGATTTTCGAAGGGTGTAGAACGTCGTCCATTTGTTAAAAAATGTTTATACTTGGAACCCGTATTTTAAATGCCGTTTTACCGCAAATTAAAAGTATTCAAGCAATAATTAGTTCAGTATTAAGTGCCTACTTAATTTGCAATAGAGGTCACAAAATACCATGAGAGGCCATTTCCCGGGGTATTACCTCGGCTGCCAGGGCGAATGTTACGTTACTGTTAAGGAGCTGGTCTCGTTTTACGCTTAACTGAATGTGGATTTAAATTTATTTGAAATAAGGTTATTTGTATGGAAACCGGGTACAATAAAAAGACATCGGTTAAAAGTCGATACAATAATTTTCAATGGTTACGGGTGCTTGGAAGGCAGTTTCCTCAGTACCTGCATTTACAATACCCCTTTACAAAAAAGTGAAGGAGATAAACATTTTTATAAAAGGAAGGCGCATGGAGAAAAATCGAATAAATAAAAGTTATGTTGGTCCAAAGTCAATAACACTATTTATAGGTGCCAAGGAGACTGATCTAAGTATGCTGTATAATATGCAACATACATTATAATCTCAATTAGGTTGGTATCATTGTTGTAAAAAAAGTGTTTTGTAGTACAATAATTTCATTTATTTTTTTTTGTAAAAAGGTTCTATCTTATATTTTATTTTTAGTTTTCGAGTAAAAAGGTTCTCACTCTATAACTGTTTGGTTCCAAATTTGGCTTTGTCAATATTATTTTATTACCAAGTTCCTTCTTTATTCACTGTTGAGATAATATAATTCCTGATTTAAATTTAAATTGTTTGATTATTTATACATCCAAATCGAATAATTATAAGCAGACAATATTCAAACACATATTCACACACACAACCTTTTAGTTCCAAATCCACATATTACTATTCTCTACAATTATCTTTGATATCTCAAATGAAACTAGTTATGCGATTTACTTGTCTAATTAGGTAAGTATAGCCAATACTAAAATAAAATTTAAAAAAATAGCTAATACCGGGGATGGGTGCGATCACTGTTGTAGATGAGTAGTAAAAAAAGTAGTAGAAAAAAAAAAAATTGCTATGTTACACTCAATTATATTTTTGGAAATTCATTTGGTTTTTACCTGTTACCTATAGGTTCTATCCAACGTGGTTTAACAAAAACATTTTTACGGAACTCGGGTTTGAACTTGTGACCTTGGATGACATAAGGTGTATACCTGTAATAGAAAACGACATGCATTCTACGAAATCGACAATATTGAGTTATTTAATGTAACACATATAATATCAGCATAATATTAGTGACACACACAAAAAAAAAAATAGAATTTCAGGATTCTATGTATTTTGAGGGTCTGTCCACTCTGACCAAAGGACGCATAACTGATTATTTAAATTCGAAACGTGTTGGCAAAGAATTATCATACGTTGTTGGAACGGGATCAACGACGAATACATTTTAATGTAATTGAAAATTACCGATTTGGTAATTTTGAACATAACCGCGTACGATCAACCAAACGACAACGATTTGAAGCTGATCAACCATATGACCGGTCGTCTGATATTCAGCCGGTCGATCGGCAAACGTGAGAACGGCAGAAGGCTGTCGTTGAGCGAGACGAATGACCTTGTGTGTCCCATTCAACACAACATAACATACTTCCACGATCCCGTTATCGACATAGTGTTAACGAAGTGTCTATTCAATTACATAGTCGATTCGATAGGCTACGATGATATTTTATTTGAAGAACCAGAAGAAATCTGGTAAACCGACCAGTTTTTATTACATAATATTGATCTCACACGATGACGCAATAAAATATAATTTTAAAATGCTAACATTTCAATTTAATAGAAACATATTAAATTTTAAATATTTTAAACAAGAAAAATGGCTTAAAATGTACTAAAGTACTAATGTACTAATGTACATATATAGCTAAAAATGGCCAAATATGTAAAATAAAATGTATATTGTAGGAATATATTTTATCTATGAAGCATGAAACAAATTTTCAGTTATGGTAGCATGAGATAAAGGATATATAATATAAGGATATTATATTCTATATATCCTTGTATGTATATGTTAACCTTAAAGTATTAAATGGTGGTATTTCATAAAATACCTGGCTAATACAAACATTAACCATATCAATTCGATAAAACATGTAAATTAAATGTAAGTTAAATTTAACTAGGTATTTTATGAATTCCCCGCTATTCAGTCGATTAGTCATTGGATTTCGTTAAGATAAAGAGAAATTACGTACGTCAATAATAAGTGATTGTTTTATTATTTTTGTTGTGGTAAAACTTCAGCTACATAATGTCTGTTTCTCGTCCAGTTGTTTTGCAGTATACCACAGTTATTCAGGCCCGTCGCGAAAAATGTTCCTCTCTTCGGCAAACATAATGTCACCCTTTCCGTCAAAAGCAAAGTATATAGTACACAATATTAATACATAATTATTATAATGAATAATAACACTTGAATTTGATTGTTAAATTTCTGTATGTTTTAATAAAAATTGTGTGAAACTTTCTACTTGTTTATAAATATATTTTTGTTTAGCTAATAAATATAATACAGTGGTGGATCCAGGGAGAGGACGCAGAAGGCACTAAACTCCCTAATTTGGTTGAAAAAAATGTTCCATAAAATAATTGTGTGAGCATACGACGCTTTTTTATATCTTGAATCGCCAGCCGGCGGCCTGTGAAAGAAGTGTGTGCCGTGTGATCAATTTAAACGTTTATAAATTCCATGAAATTTAATACCTATAAATTAAATCTATTGTGATTGTTATTACTTATTTTAAATCTAAAAATAAATATTATATTCAAATTGTTATCGTCGTCATCGACATGTAATATTGTACTCGTCATCAAAATTATAATTTGGGGGCGCATAAAATATTGGAATAAATAGGTGTACATTCGTATCCTTATGTATATTATATATATTTTTCCGACCAAATGTCGTTCCGACAAAACACTAAATAGGTTAGGTTAGGCATAAAAGCGATAGACATAAAATAATAATAATATGTAATACAATATTAGATAATAGATACCTACCTACTTAAATTATCATTGCTCTTACATTACTAGTATTGTTTTGAAATTGTATTGATTGCCAACGAATGATTTGTTAGATTTTGTTTAATTCATTAGTTGTGAATCTTAATACAACAAATTTTCTTTTATAAAAAATGACACCCCAGTTTTATTTAATTGTTTCCGCTTTTAGGCAATGGCCTAACCTGCTTTTGCCCTGGCGACGTGCCTGTAGTTATACTTTTAACGCGTTGTATAGTTGTAATACACATGTTTTAATTTTTTGATTAGAGTTTTTTTTTTATAATTTTATTCAAAATGGATGTAACAATAATTCTTATGAAACAACAATTTTACGAAACTATTGAAAAACGTGATAACTTGCATAATGCAAACATATTCTCCATCTAACAGAGGGTCTGACGTTGTCGTTGCCGTAGCAATGAAAGTAGATGTGTACGTTATTTTCGTCGAATACGAAAAATTCGACTTGAAAGTACTTGAACATTTATGGTTGTAACTTATAATCCATCAAATCAATCTGTTTGAGAGTTCCCCTGTTCCCATCTGCACAATATTTCTAATCAATAGAGATATCTTATGTGACTTTATATGTTCTGTCATTTGTCCTGTAGTGGTGACCGATAGATTAACAAAAATTAGTACGGTTTTTCAATGGTACAACTTGGTTTCCTGTTATTATACGTTAGTGGCTATTTATTTGTATTTATATTTAGGTATTTATTTTATTTTTTTTTACTTTGCTTCACTACCGTCGGGCTGGATTATTTCATTATTTTTTTTTTACTATTTAAAACACAATGGTTCATCTAGTTATTTGTTCAGAGTTACTTTCTAGAAGTTTTTATTTTAGATTCTGAGCGGAATGAAGCATGTATTGGTTTCATAATGATGTTTATTTTTTTATTATTATTTTTTTTTATGAACAACTTTTCTACCAGATATTTTTCTCCAATTTTCAAGTGTAGCACATTTTCTGAAAGGATATTTTTGTGGTGTGGTATTTTAAGAATGTTGTTTTTTGATTTTTCTAGAGGTTTTGATAATAAATAGGAAAAATTGGGAAAAACGTAGAAAATTAAAATCGTAAATATTACGTCCTTTCAAAACATGTATAACAGAACTCCACTTAAAATCGTTTTTTTTATCAATGATTAATCGCTGCGTACATATATACATTACATTTTTTCCCTACCTTCCCAACTTTTCACTTACAACAGTGGTCTACCAGTCGTGCGAAGTATGTCCGCATAACGAAAGTCTGCTGCATTTTTGCAATAATGTTCAGCCACGGTTCAATTTAAAATTTAACAAAATAAATCCTACTACTCATTTAGTTTAATTGAATATTATATATAGGTATGTTATAGACAGTAACGAATCGCCTGTAAGTAAAATTCGCTTTATATTATTTTCGAAAAATACATAGGTAATGAATATTATAGTTTAGATTTTTTTTTCGGTAAACTGCTCGTCCAAGTTGTTAATATATTTTCAGCTTTTTTCAATGTTTCGTCTTTCTGGCAACAGAATAAAATGAGTTTAAGTTAATATTAATAATAAGTATTATTAAATATATGCTAATAACTCCACACAGTAAAAAAATTATATTAAAAAACTACTAGAAAAACCTCGGACAACAAATGAATTTGGAGTAACTAACAGAAATAGGAACGGTTTAAAATTTATAAAGATCTAAGATCATAAAACATACATAGTCTCTTCAGAATAGGTGCTTGTCAAAATATTGTCGAGATATGTGCAAGGTAGAGTATAATAATAGCAGCACTACAGGAATTAGGAAGTGAGATGGTTTGGCATTGACTAAATTAAAGTCATTATACTATTTTTTATCATGTATTAGCCGACATACTTTTGAGACAGTATTTGCAGTACACAATAAGATCTTGAAAAGTTTTACTGAATCTCACTCTATTTTGGACGTGTCGATTGAACCGGTTGAAGCAACGTATAAAAACGAATTCCAAAGTATATGAAGAGATTAAAGTATGTGTAACAAAAATAGAGATGGGAGAAGATTTATATAATGCAAAAATAGGGAAAGAAAAAATCTACCTACTTACAATCGGCAGGAATAGTGCACATAAGCAGACTGATGACAATAGTTCTCGATTAATATCTTTAGCAACGTAAAAAGGATTGATCATCAGCAACACCACTTTCGCTCTCAAAGGTGGAAATCAACTAACGGTAATATGGTAATATGGAGAACCAAATAGATCATTGATCACTAATACAAGCTAGATTTAGGTCAAGCATATAGGGTGTAAGAAGCTTCCGTGGTACTGACTATGAGACCAATCATTACCTTGTTATTGCAAAATTTAAACTCAAACTACGTAAGGATACAAGGGATAAAAAGACAACTTAATTTTATATAAAGGAATTTAAGATAAGAGTCCAAGAATAATATACGTAAAAATGAATTAGAAAAAAAACAACACAATTCATCTCCGCGGTAGGAATGCAACGGCAACAAGTACAGAGTATCATAACCAAAATAGCGAAAAATACTATAGGTAAGTACGTAAGTTAGTAAGTAAACACAATAAGTAGTTTGATGATGATTATAGAAAAGCGCTATAAATAAAAATGAAACACGACACAAGTATTTAAAAACTCAGAACACAATAAACTTAGCAATGATAACTTAGCAACTAACAATGATAATGATAAGCGTAAGTAATGCAAAAGAATAATGCAATGGAAAGGGACCATTGTAATACAAGTTTGGATGAAACAGAGAAAGAAAAAAAAAATTCTGCTACAACTACTTCAACCAATGGCAGAAAAATGTATAGGGGAGTACTAGAGCAGCTTCCAGAAGAATAAGTTAACAATTGACCAATTATCCATTATTGCACAAATAACGGAGAACAAATATGAATATAAACAAAACGTATGGTACGAATTCGTTGACTTCAGTGAGGCTTATGATAGCATATACGAGGCTCGTATAGAGGCTGTCTATAAAATATTATGTGTGAGTTTGGGTTCTGAGTAAACATATAAGACTTGTTAAAATGTGCACGGAAAATGTACTATATTGATTATTAAATGAGAACACGAAATACCTAATCAGAAACCTTTAAGGTTATTATAGGACTAAAGAAAGGAGACGTATCGCTACTTCTATTTAATAAAGCTCTGTAAAATGATTATAAACATGCTAGAATCGTTGGTGGAAGGAATTGATGTAGATACTTTAGTGCCCTTCTAATTTCTTTTCGATTCAAGTAATGGGTTTAATAATATTTTAGTTTTGTAAATTACTTTAAAAAAACAAAATCTTAGATAATTTTCAGCCATTCGTTTGTTTCCTTCTGAATAAAAAGCAGAATACGGTATTCCTTGGAGTTTGATGTTTTTTGATAACCATTTTACAAATCTGAAGTCCTTGTATTTGTCGGTTTCTGAATTTAAATCTAATTGATCTTCTATATAATAGTACAAACAATCAAACATATATATATATATATATATATATAAAAAATCAATGACAGGAATTAAATAGTTAATAAAAAATAAAAGTTAAATTGGATTTAATTTTTTAACTTAATTAGTTTATTACTTTAATCATAAACTTATACTTAACCTAACTGGTTTCAGTTTTCATTGTACAAACTTAAATTTTTACAGGTCACTTCTATAAACATTCAGTCAAGTTATTAGTTTAGTACAATGCTTCTCAACATTTTTATAACGACCGCCCCCCTAAGAAGCAAAATATTTTTCAACGTCTCCCCTCACTTCATTAAAATAAAAATAAAAATAATATACATGAAAAGTTTAAAATTGAATAATTAATAAATATAATATATATATATATACAAATGTGAATATAATGAAAATAAAATGTAAAATTTATGTTTAAATATAATTTAAGAGGATAATTAAAATGTTTTTAAATGTATTGATCTGTGAGATGGTTGTGCTTGGTGATCCAAAGCCAATATTTTTACGTTTGGTTCAAAGTTTGTGAGATGAAGGCGTAAGTCTCCTCTTTTGACGATGTCGAGTCGATTTCTTTTTTTAGTTATCAGATTTGTTACCGCACTAAATCCTCGCTCAACGAGGTAGGAGGAAGGGAAGGCAATTAATAATTTTTGTACGACAGTCTGTGGATAAATAGCCCAGGATAAATTCGACTGGTAGTAGATTGGAGCCAAAATTCTGTGAGGTTTTCACCATTCTTGAAACTTGTTTTTAACATCTTGTTAGTGGAAATTTCGATCAATTCTTCTTGATACTGTAGTTTTGCTGATTCGTTTGCTTGATAAGCAAACGTTTGACGCTCTGGTACATGTAGCTTATATTTCATAATCAAGAGTTTATTTTAGTAATCGATAAAAATGAAAAAATTTACCAAGATAAATCTTAGTGCGTTGCTTTGAACGGAAAAAAAGTTCACCGCCCCTTTAACACCCAAAACGAGCCCACCGCCCCCTCATCGCCCAAAACGAGCTCACCGCCCATCAGTACTCCTTCACCGCCCACCGGGGGGCGATATCACCCCCGTTGAGAAGCACTGGTTTAGTTATTTGCATCTGCACATAATTTATTTTCTCTAGCAACAAATACATTGTGCATTTCATTGATTGCGACTTTCTGGTTGAATTCAAGGCAAAAGAACCTATTACACAATTTATCAATAAGAGTAATTACTATACCTTAGCCAAATGATTATTTAATATTTTTCTTTTTTAATAAGTAATTAATGGTTAATATTAAGAGAAATTTAGTTAAATTAAACTGTTCATTTTTTAAATGATAAAAATGAAAATTAAAGAAATAATTTGGCTAAGACATAATACATATTAAATAATGTATAATATGTGCCTTTGCTCCAAACTCAACCAAAGAATTTGTTTAAGTCCATTGTGTGTTTTTTGTATATACCTAGTTTAATTTATTTATTTTAAATGAATACTGTTTTGTTTATTTAAATTTACTACAGTTAATTATCTTCATCGAATTGAAAATCTTTGAATTTAATGTTGTAGTATTATTAGTATTAATATCGATGAATAATATAAATAGGTATACGGAATAATTAATCGTCATAACAACAATAATTAAAGAAACTAGATACACTGGCCATTCTGATCTCAAATTTATGAAGGTCGTGTCAGGATTTACATAATCCTTAGTCCCGATTTTATTATTTAAATCATTCCTGATTCCACTTCAGCAATTTTAAATCTACGTAATAATATAATATGAGTATTGAGTAAGTATTACACTAACCAAAGTTTGTCCAGTCAGCTATCATGAAATATCCCCCTTCGGGCATTATCGGTTTAAAGCCGCCATCCTGTAATATTTTGAACAAATAATTCATTTTTGGCTGCAATTCGTCGGACAATGTTTGGAAATAACTGTTCGGCGTTCCGAGCAAAGCGATTTCGTGTTCGAAACCTCTGGCCGCTGCTTCCTGAACAGTCGTCGCGCACGTATAAATCGCCGTTTGGTGGACAACACACAGATTTTTCATAAGATATGACGGTCCGTAAGCCCATCCGAGTTTCCATCCCGTCATGCTAAACGTTTTTCCGGCAGATCCTATGGTAATGGTCCTTTGCCACATCTCCGGGAGTGTGGCTATAAATATAATAATATAATCAAGATTAAAAATACAAATGAGTGGCCCACTTTTGTGGGTAAGAAGTTGGGAAGGTAGAGGGGAAATTTAATGTATATCTGTATGCAACAATTAATCATTGCTAACGAAAAACGATTCTGAGTAGAAATCGGTTAAAAGTATCGCTTTGTCAATAATAAACAGGGCGATTCCCTATGAATGCTCATCTTTTTTGATTAAATTTTACATATATTTGAATTCTGATTTTTTTGAATTTTTAAAAGAAATTAAAGCCGATATTTTCAAATACATATATTTTTCATAACATTTAAGGAGTATCCTGTGGTGTTTCTATAAATAAATGAATAAATAAATAATTTTAATTTTGGTGTTAAAATTTTAGATTTACGTCAACCCGTTAACGAGATATTTCACTTTTAAGTTCAGTTAGGGGGAGATTACTAGAGTATTATTTGTGTAGCAGCATGGAACACCGCATTTTATCCGTCTATTTATGGAATTTTTAATATAGGTTCTTATTTGATAAACCAAAGTTGGTACCACCACAGGATATTCCTTAAATGTAGTAAAAAATCTAAGTATTCGGCTTTAATTACACTGAAAAATTCCAAATATCAAAATTTGAATACATGAAAAACAAAAAAATTGAAAACAATTCAATTTGTAAATTTTCCCGTTTTCCCATCATGTATTCCCGATTTATTGTGAAAACCCCTGGAAAAACCAAAAGATGACCTCCCTAAAGTACTAACCCAGTCAGATTTCTTATCACAAAAAGTGCTATCATTGTAGATCAGAGCAAAGTAGAAAAGTAGTTCACAGAAAAAAAATAAACAATGAACATCATTATAAAACCAATATATTTCTCCCTCTACTCAGAATTTAAAATAATAATACTATATTGACAAGTTTTGTCATTAATTTTAAATTTAAAAGAGCTGTTGTTGGTAAAGGGTGTATTAATATTGTAGGAGACAAGTCGGGAAGGGTTAGGATATTATGGTATAAAAACAGTATGAAAAGAGTCATTTAATTTATATTTGTACAAATTGGGAGCGTGTAAACGAGCCGAAAATATTTCGGCCCCACCGTAATTTAGCCCACAAATATTTACGCTAAATACGCTACAACACAACCGGTGCGTACATTCACCACTTGGGCACTCTACTATACCTCATTAAATAATTACCGATTCTAATGTGTTGGGTGGGTTTGTACACCAACCATTCATACACTTCGTCGGAAATGACGAGAACGTTATGTTTTTTAGCCAAATTCGCGATCATCGTTAGTTCGTCGTAATCGAATATTTTTCCCAGTGGATTGTGAGGTGTGTTTATAATGATGAGCTTTGTTTTTGAATTGAACAATGACGCCAATTCGTCTGGATCGAGTTTCCAATCGCTCGAATGTGACGTGGATGCATTAGGCTTTGTCTTTACAAAAAAAAGTTAATGAAAATTAACACGAGTATAATGAATTGTACTATTAAGAGGGCACGCGATACGACTGGTAATTCGATTGTAAAATCTGTTTTTCATGAAAAAAATTACTAAGGCTATAGAATTAATAATAATATTATTAAATTAAATGTTTACTATAAAAATGTACAACTTCCGTTGTGTTAGTTTAGTTTTATTTTATTTAATATTGTAAATAATAAAAACATAATTAATATTGTTTTAAAATTTAATAGTTTTGAGTTTTTCAAACACAAATAACATATTTCTTATAACAGTGATGTGGTCGAAATAAAACCAACAGCACACTTAAGGTAAAAATTTGATTTCTTATTGATTTATTTTATTTAACAAGTGTTTTTTGAACCTCGATTTGAATTAATCAATTGTTTACAAACAATATCGTAAACATTTCTTAGATAAAAATCAATCAAATCAAAGGTAGTATCTTCATTTAACATTCAATTTTATTTGGGAGACGGTTTTCTAAAAATACATATTATAAACATTGTGTTAGAAATGATGAGGAAAACAAATTGTTTTGATGAATAGTTATAGGATATTATATATAGCCAATCTAATGTCGATTTGTTACTATTTGGAACGATTTGATTGGTGAGTAGGAGTCATATTATAATGGCTATTCGACTTGCCACTCCAATTTAATTGCGAGTGTTCGTCTTTGTCTCCATAAATACAGATGATAAATATTGACTATCACGCGCCTTTTTAAGAAAATGTTGTATCCACATGTACTGTCTCCGTCATACAACCACGGAAATTTTCGTTCAGCAGAGACATATCTGTGCTGTTAGTTTTAAAATTAGAGTGAGTTGATCTATATCAAACTCAAAGATATGAACATTATCTGTGTCGTCGCGTCGTTTTTTTTTTTATCGTTTTATTTTTTAAACAAAATATGATCGTGTGAATTATTACAGTTTAAAAGTGTTTAAACTTGACTCAATTTAAAATTAAAATAATTAAAAAAAAAAAAAAAAGAGGGGATTTTATAGATAATTTTAATATCTTTAAATGTGATAATAGGTCAATTCACTTAAATATCAGAACTAAAAACACAACGTTGTTGAACACAAATTTGCTTTATATCGCGTTTGTATGTCGGAGACAGCTCATGCGGGTAAGATGCGTCGTCCTCTTAAGCGTTATTTTCACACACATCGTACATCCTTACATTTCTCAGCGGAATAAATCTAGGGATTCCTCCGGCCGTCCGAACCATCGGTTCGTAGCAATCGTAAAACGGTTCGATGATAATCGCTTCGTCACCGACTTCTATGTTTCCTTGGATGGCACAATAGAGAGCTTCGTATGCGCCAACTGTTACCATTATTTCGTTCATGGGATCGATTTTCCGGTCGATCAGTTTGGAATACAGATCGGCTAATGCTTTCACCAAACGCGCGTGGCCCTTTACATGTTGTACAAAATTTAGATGAAAACCAAAAAAAAAAAATCGTCAATATTTTTCCGAGTGCCAATACACCCCATGTATTTTATAAAACTATTAGGCTAATAATTACAAATCCTCGTGTGTATTGATTGAAAAAGGAATTTTTTTCCGTAGCCACTTGCGCTAAGTAATCAGAAAACCGTGACGGCGGGTCATAATCCGGAAATCCTTGTCCCAAATTCAAACACTTGGTGGTGACGGCCAATTGACTGAATTCGATCCTTTATTAACAATACACTTAAAATAGATAAACATATAGTTCAAGTATAGATAATTTAACTGTGAAAAATAATGTTTACTAGGTATTGAAATACATCACGAATAAAACTAAAAATATATCGATATTATATGAATATAAATAGTGATTTTGTAAACCAAAATGGGCATTTAATGTTGAAATTAATAGAAAAATGTATTTGCACACGTCATTTGATAGCAAAATCTGTTACAAACAATCTCTTTTGTTATTTTTTAATTGGAGCAAGATTTCAGGTAGAAAAGTTGATAGCAGAGAGAAAAAAAATAATAATGAACTAATAATGCTGATGTGTATCTCACTGTTGTAGGTGGAAAGTTGAATAGGTAGGAAATACAAAGTTAATTAATTTATACCTGTACGTCGTGTATGCTGAAGTCCATAATCAAGATGTTAATTTTTAAGTTACAGTGTTTTTAATCCATTGGTAGAGCCACTTGCTCTTAGTGTTTTTTTTTATTATCATTACTGTTATGTGTATTTTTTTTCTTTTATCATTATTCAAAATTATACATTTAATGAGTTGTTGTTTGAATTTATCATCTTTTTTTTTATAAAGAAATAAACTACTACAACAGTGTATTGCTGACGAAATACGAATCTGAATTCGGTTAAACATGATTCAAAATGTTGTAATTTTTACAATGTTTATCAAAATTTAAGCGTTTAGCAATCATATAAAAAAAAAAAACTACTATATAACGCTCAGTTTTTTTTTTTTTGATATTCTGAGTATAAAAAATAACAATAATATTAATGAAATAGTTTTTTTTTCCAGTTTTTCCCGGTTATTAGAATTCTACAATGACGATTAAAAAAATAACCCATTTGCACAAATGAAACAAAATGTTCTTTGATAAATGATACTACACTTGAAATTCAGAACAAGATTTTTGGTAGAAAAACAAAATCGAAAATAATTAAACCGTCATCGCTATTGTCGTCAAATTTGACCGTTTTTCATATATTTTTTCTTCAATTTATTACGAAAACCACAAGGGAAATCAAAATGGTATTCCCATTGCACCAACTAGATACAATTGGTTTTGAAAAAGATGCTACTTTTGAAAATTAAAGTACGTATTTCTGGTAGAAAAGTTGTTGATAAGGAAAAAAAAAATCGCTGCGCTCAGAATCTAAAATAATCAGAAGAATTGGTAGGATGGATATAATAATATTATAGTGCGTAATTAATATAATTCCGACGGTATACTGAATTATTTAAAATCGTATCGTTATAGGGGAAGTAGAGCTCAAAAATCATATTGCGTTATCGTTAAAAAAACGTATTTGTATAGAAAACCGTTATTGTAGTCGTTTAGTACTTAAATCTGTAAAAAGTACTGTTTTTAATAAGATTAAAAAGAAAAAAAAAACAAAAATCAAATCACGGCGGTAGAAAAAGTTGGGAAACACTGTACAGCATACAGAAATTTAATATCAAAAAAAAAAAAACACCACGACTACAGTAAATAGTATAGATAATTACTGTGTTTATAATATTGCGTCTTGTAGTGGAAATTATAATAATAATATAATAGCGAACTTTGTTATATCGGCTGGTCTCTACAATAATAGATAAGGCAAAAAAAAAAAATTGCTCCACACTCGTAGAAGCAGAAGTATTAGATAAGTATACTAACCAAACACTGTAAACGCCGGCCTCGTGACGCGATGGCAACTTAAATTTGTCCATTACAAATTTATCCGCAGCGCAGTTCGTATCGATAGCGGTCGGTGCAGATGCGGAAAACCGATTGTTTTTATTGAACAAAAAACTCGAAATCGTTTGGAAACAACGGACTCTTTTACTAGCGGTGCCGACCAATATTACCCTTGACAGTATAATAATATATTAATGTTATTAAAGATAAATAATATCGAACACGCGTATTTTTTAAGTGAAATGTGATAATTGAATGTCTATCATAATATTACGTGTACGAACAACGGCGCAGCCGATTATTCACTGAGGTCGATTGTTATTGAAGTTTGTAGGTTTTTTTTTTCAATATTAATACGATATGTAAAATGTTACGTCACCGTCGATTAATTGCTAGTGGTTTTCAACCTTTTTGGGTCCACGGCTCTTCTAATTTTGAAATCCAAATTAACGGCTGCCTTATGATAATAATATAAAAACGTAAATAAATAACTTTCCTGTATTACTCTACTATATTTACTTTAGCCGCGGTTCCCTTGATACGAAACCACGACGCCGCCGGGAGCCGCGACACACAGGTTGAAAACCACTGCGATAGTTATTGGTCGTATATAGGCAGCCAAAGTTCGTTAATTTTAATCGCTGTACAGCCGGTTAATTATTATTATTATTATTATTATCATCATACCTACCTGTTATTGTAAAATTATAATATTGTGCGCGAAAATCCGCGCCCAATATTCTACACTAATAATTTCACGAATAGGTACCCAATAATCATCGTGTCCGTCGGCCGTGCGAAACGCTATTACGCGATTTTAATATGAAAATTATATTCGATTTCGGTCTGGACCGGGACAATGCGCGCAGTTGAGCGGTCGCTAATAGCTATTTGCGATATCGTTGACACGTAATAATATCATGACGTTATTATGTACCTGCGTAGCGACGAAACAACGCATTTAAACGCGTTTTATTTTTTTTGCGATCGGTCAATATTCGCGCGGCGATACTATTGTAACGATGTAGGTAACTTACGCGGTTAATACAATTAGACTTACATATTTGCGACGGGAAAGGTATTGCGGATATTGTACAATTTCCGGCGTACGAAACGCTCGTGGTAGGTACCCGCGTTTAGTGCAGGTACAGGTACGTCACACGGCTAGGTACAGTAATACTATTACGTTCGACAATATTTTTTACAGCGTAATAATATTGGAATTATCGTATAGGCTCGTACTGTTCGAAACATTATAATAACAATAATAATAATAATATTAACACAACAGACACGAAAATATTGTAATATCGTTACCATTCGATGACCCCGACGATAAGCCGTGTGTTCCCATTGGTATTGCAATCGACAACAACCGGCGACGTGAATAATAATAATAATTATAATAATCGTTTTAATAATATATTATCGAACTAATAATGAAATTTCTCGCGTTCTTAATTATGCGTCGTCGTGTTACTCGCGTAATATACCGTTGTACCAACGTCAGCTGAATGCCGTCCGAGTTTCGAAAAAAAAAAAAATAAATAATAAATATAAAAATACCTACTAAACCCCCACCCGTTAATTAATTTTAGACCCGGCGAGTGTGTTGTGAAGAAGCTATACACTGCTCGTTTTCGATGTTCATTAAGATGCGTGTGTTTTTTTTTTCTATCTTGGAAAATCTTTGACGGTCAGTTTAAACGTTCCAAATTGTTGCGGTTATCGCATCGTATATAGTATATATACCTATACCTACCTCAGTGGATTTTGTACGGGGGGAATCAGGGAGATAAATCTCCCCCCTTGACATTTTTTTTTAGTAGTTATTATTTATAGTTATTACTTATTTTTAAATTCGGATTTCTTTATTTTTTAGTAAAAAAAAAAATCAAAAATTTATTGGCACCATGTAAATAAATAAAAAAAAAAAACTTGGAACAACAGCAGGCATGTTTCCTTGTTAAAAACGAAACCAGTCGTAACCACTTTGATACAAAGGAGATTTTTTTTCTTCTTATGCTTAGAATGGTATAAATAAACTAATTAATAATAATAATAATTGCTATAACATTTCAATGATTATTGATTAATCGAATTACAAATTGCTTACATAAAATATTATATAGAGTTCAAATTGGATCTTTTTTGTTTGTTTTAAGTCTAGTTACATGTTATACAGTATTTCAAAATTCAATGTCGCCTTCTTTTGCAAAATCCTAAATACGCCAATGACCTACCAAGTAGCTCGGTAGCACTTTATTCAAAAAATGTTTCTAGACCTTCGCCTAAACAATTATCAAAAATCTTACGAAAAAATGACGGTACGATAGATATTGTATGCATACTATTATATTATAAGTTATATACAACTAGCATATTATAGTTTACCGAGCTCTGCTTGGAATCGTTTTTTGATCGCAATGATGTATCGGTGCTTTTAGTACACACATTGAATTACCCGTTGTGGCTACCTTCTCAACTTCCCAACTACAACGGTTGCTTATTTTTATTTTACACGCATATTGTATTGCAGTTATTATTATTCGTTGAAATAGTTTCAATCAATTTTTTTGAAGGGCGTTACTGTGGGTTTTCTCAAGTACCTATCTGGGCCATAATATTAATTAGATGCATATTATTGTTAAGTGCTACGGTGTCCTATACATATTTTATTTTATTCAAAATTATATTTGTAATTGTCGAGTAATAATATTACTAGCAGTATGTAACTGCATGCAATATGCGTAGAATGAATAAAACGACACAATTATACAAAATGTTTTACATTCGTTGATACATATTGTACTTAATTAAGATGCGACTATGTGAGATTTCACGACGTATATATTATATGCTTAAAATAATCATAATGTAATACAATTAATTTATTACGTACCTACCTACTTATAGGAAATTCAATTGATTGCATTTATCGTAGAATGTAGATTATATTTATATTAATTCAATTTAAACGCGTTGCATCTTGTTTTGTCGACGTCATTAATCACGACTAAGTTAAAAAAAAAATAAATAATAAGGATTAATATAATAAGTACCTTGTAAAATACTAATAATAATGATAATTTATTTGTTATTAGAAATAATAATATATAATATAGTACCTATATGTATGCATGCCACGTATATATTAAAACATTAGGAAATTATAATATCAGAATATACAAAATGTAATTAAAATTGTTCATTATTTCGTCAGTCAAAATACAGTGTTTATTTCAGAAAAGGGAGTAAATAAAATTAATTATTTTTAAACGAAACAGAATGAATCATAATCATTTAATAATATTGCTAAAAAAATAATATTACTTTGTGATTCCTAAAAATCCAAGACATCTCATTATGCAATTTTTTTAGTTGAGATAAATTATTAAAATACTTATAGATGTATTTTTAAGCGAATGGTAGGACTTAACATCCAATATCTATCTATTATATACTTTTGACAAAAAGTGAGAACTTATTTTCATTGTTATAAAATGTGGTGCAGAACTTGGATTCGAAGAGGTGTGACGGAGGATATCCCGACAATAAAACGAAAGCAAAATAGCGAAAACATGTAGAGCGAAAAATGTATCATTTTAAGTTTTGTACAAACATTTCATTTTTTTTTTTCAACTTTCGTTTGTTGAATATTTTGTACAGGCCGAAGGTATAATATAAATTATATAGGTAATGACAAACATTTTAAAAATATTTTTCTTAGTGAAATATTTTAAGATCCAATTCGAGATTACGAACGGGATTACAAGCAGTGTAATATATATAACGGAAATTTATTAAATGCTTTCAAAGACAACAGAATTTGAAGGAAATTAAATAAGAAGTATATTAGAAGTATATTAAAAAGAAGTATAGAGATTCGGCTGAACTGTTTTAAAAATTACAAGAATTATTTTCGTACATTTTTTCGTTTTTCTACGATTTTTCTCATTTTATTCTCGTATTATGAAAACCCCTGAGAAAATTAAAAAATTACCTTCTTAAAGTACCACCCCAGGAAAATTCCTTTTCAGAAAAGGTGCCATATTTGATACTTTGGAGCAAGATTTTTGGAACAATTTTCGTACACAGTATAAAAAAAAAAGTTAAACGAGATGCTTAGGTGAACGAGTGGAGTAATGAGAAACGATAGGATTAGGGATGAGTATATAAGAGGTCCAGTCATGGCTTCGAAATTAAAAAAGACCAACATACTTCGCACGATAGATGCAGTTGGTGAGAAGTTGGGAAATTAAGATATAGAGGGGAAATTAATTTGCTTACGACGATAAATCATGGCTTACTAAAAACGATTCTGACCGGAGTTCAGTTGATAGTGATGCTTTGTCAACAATATATTATTATATGTCATATTATGGTAAAACAATTAAATAGGCATAATACAGGGTGGGCCAAATGTTAGTTCCTGTTTTTTCAAACACGAGTCTATTTTAATTTTGTAAAAATACGCCTGTGAAAAATTGGTTTACAGTCACTTATACCTTTCCGTCGACCATGAAGTTGTATATCAGAATAAAGAGGGAAACATGATCAATAGTTTACATATTAGAGAGGGAAAATATAATGCCATACAGCCAGCAGCAACCAGCTAGTAACACTATTTATCATTGGGTGGTGACATGCTAACAATGCATGTTAATTTTTACCTCCCCCCCTATCTAAACTAGATAGAATTGTTTATTTAATTTATTAAATTTATTAAATTTATTTAATTTTATTTAATTGTTGTTATTGTTTTTACTTATAATTTACAATTATTTTCATATCGATAACAGACGTGTTTATTGTGAAATCTTCAACGATTTATTGAGGTTATGGAATTCATTCCTAAACGCCTAAGTAAATGTACGAACGTTGAGGATTTTCATTTTGAATATTTGTAATATATTCTATAACATTAAAGTAACAAATAAAGTTTACTTATTTATTCAAAACATTGAAGGGCAAGCCTAATTACATGTTATATATAAGTATAATTTTTAATTTACAAAAAAATAATAACAAAGTGGTTATGGTAAAAAGGTAGGTTGTTCATTAGCCATGTACATCATACGATGTTAAAGATTGTTGCGACCGTAGTTTGTGGGACGATTCGGCACAGAGAAAGAGGTATGGAAACGGAGGGGAACGCTGTGGCACGCTGAAGTTAATACTTAAAAGGAGAGTGGGGGCATCTATTGAACCGTCCAAGAGTTTTTGTAGAAATAATAAATTTGTAGTTGCTTTTCTATTAGCCAGTGATATGAGTTTGAGTACGCTGAGGACAGGGAAATAGTCATACGGGGTGAAACAGCTACGACTGAGACTTTCTCACTGATGCAAAAAGCCAGATCAAGGAGCTTTCCATACGAGTTTTGGATATGGTAATTAAATAGGTAACATTACATCGTATTCGGTTAACCTTAACCGAATACGGTTTCCTAGGCGCGACCTGTCGCGGCTAAACTGATAATACATAAAACCTATAGATTGGTTTCATACGTGCGATCACTGCAACACGACGAAAATTCGTCGCCACGATTGGCGATAGTACCCGTTCAAGAGCAGGGTATCGCGACGGTCGTGTGGGACAATACAAAATTATGCTGAGTGTAACAAAATTTTCATCGGCAGAGGAAGAACTTCTTATTGAAGAAATTAGAAAAATTAGACCTATTTATGACCTTAATTATAATAAACATAAAGATAAAATTCATAAGCCTTCTATTTTTTTATCCAGAAATAAGCTGTCTATTTTTGTCTTTTTTTATCCAGAAATAAGCTGTCTATTTTTGTCTTTTTTTATCATATGTAATTAATAATTCATCTTCGTCTTCCTCTTCCTGAAGTAAAAGTAAAATTGTATTATTATATGTTACACTGATATCTAAATCTTAATTTAAAACTCAAAAATACAAACATCTTCACGGTACAAATAGTTCAAAATGGTTCACAGCTATTGCAAAATATGGATATTATTTATCAGTGTTGAGTAGTCGCGTAACCAGTCAGACCGCCGCGACAGGTCGCCGTCCACCGTTGCGGAGACTGGTTGCCGAGAGAGGTCACGCCTAGGAAATCGCACCTTTAATGAGAAAAATATATCGGAAACGAAAAATCTCATACTTTCAGTTCAAATTTTTCCCCAATTGAACGCTCTCAGAAAACACTACATAAAGAAGAAACGGTTTAGGAATTGGTTTGATTGGGGAGGTGGCGCTCGAACAACATAGACTTATTTGTGGGACATAAGCCGATTTTAGCAGTAATGCTACCGACTGGTGCATAACTGGGTTTTGAAGCGTCGGGTAAATCCCAGCGGCATTCGGTTGTAATATATGCAGATTTTGAGGATTTACTTGTAAAAGCCGTCGGTGAGAAGCGGGGCATACACACCACAATAACGTATTACCATAAACCTATGAGTTATGGATTTGTGGTGAAAGCGTCGGACGACGTGCCACAGGAGTTGTTGGAGAAGTGATGTGCAGCAATAAAATAGACTTTATCACAGCGGACAGTATAGCTAAATTGTTCGGTTTAAAAAATAAAGTGTATGAATACACGATATACACCATTGAAAATATAAAAAATATTCTAATGTATGATTATTGAAAAACTAAAACTTTAAATAAAACATTTTATAAACATTTGAAATTGAATAGTATAAAAACATATCTAACATTTAAAATTAAAAAAAAATGTTTCCCTCATAACTAATTTGTAATTATAATTGTATTTTAGTTAAGATTTTAATATTAAAAAAAAAAAGTACAATTAATACTATTGTTAAGGACAACTGATCCCCAGAGGTTTTGTTGCTGACGCCTACCGCCGGCTGTCCGCGTCTTAGCGCTGGGCGCTACTTGCGGGCGGTCGTGGTGCTGAAGCAATGGCGGCGAGCCGCCGCCGCCGGTCCAGGGTCTTTGGAGGGAACACCGGCCCCGGGCTTTTGTGGCTCGTACCTTTCTCACGACCGGGATGAGTTCTCGTTTGCCCATTAGAGGTGCAGTGGATTAGCTTTACTATTTCGCGCTTGTCCCACAGCCACCACGTTTCAGCCGAGTTATGCTCCTCAACCTAGGGGGCACTAAGTCCGGAGCGGCCAGGCCGGTACGGCGTGAAGTAGGGCTCCCCCGCCCGTGTTATCGACTAGGTTTTTGGTTGACGGCGGTAGGTCAATCCAAGATTGCGTCTCTCCCACTATTTTGTCTCCCCAGCCAGCTAGTGGTGGACCTAATTTGTTAAGGACAGTAGGACAATGCATCAAAAAAGAGTATTGCCCCACCAAAAAGAGTATGTCTAGTCACCAAAACTATACATAATGACAATATTATATTTAAATGAATTTTCAATGAATAATTGAATAATGATAAACAAAACAATTATTTAAGGAACTCTATATTCGAAGAAAGATTGACAAATATAGCAGTTTTAAACATAGAAAATAATTAAACATCAAATACAGAAATTAAAACCTCATGAATGATAATATTATATATAATTTATATAATATGACTAAAAAATACAAACCAATTTATATCATCAACATTTTCCTCCTCCTTCTCCTCCTCCTCCAAGGGATCCACGTCAATTAACGATGATTTGTCAATGGTATCAACTAATTTAAAATTGAAGTGTGAAGTATAATATTATATTTAGTAGTAATGTACCAACAAATACAAAATTCTTAAAACATATAGGTTATATATAATACACCTTTAATAACCTGTCGGTTGGTATCAAACTTTTTCAAACACCCTTTTTATTTTATTAGCAACACAGAAAAATCGTTAATAGTTCTTTTCGATATGCTTTCAGATTTGTACAACAAAACTATATGCAGGTATGCAATGAACAAAATTATAATATGTTAATTTATGCATATTATAAAAAAATCTGCTAGTAATAAAACGCGAGTACTTACATAAAATACATGGAAAACACCACGATAAATAATGATACAGAAATACAGCATATGATATTATAATATCATAATATTCTTAAAACATGCAATAACAGCAATAAAGATAAAGTCGTCCCTACTACCTAGAACCTAGCCACTATATGTTTATATTTTATTATTATATTTTTTAATTATCTATCTAAAAATAGATGTATATCATAATATTTCCGTCATTATAGCGTATGGCACAAAATATGAAATACGAGGGTTGTCCCAAAAGTAATGCACAGCGCGCTTTAGCTGTCTTGCAATGTGATATTATCAGCTGATTTTAGTATCAGTTTGTAGCTTGAAGTCTAACGAACACGTGCGTTTTCAGTTTTAGTTGTTTTAGTAAAGTATAATGATGTGTAAGAGCGATAACGAAAGTGAGAACAATTCGTCGGCTCACATTTCTGTTTTTGAGCAACGCGCATACATTAAAATCGATACGATTCGTGGTAAAACAGTGCCTGAAATTCATGCCGCGTTAAATGAAGTGTGTGGAACGGATACTGTGGATCGTAGTATGGTGCAAAGATGACATCAGCGATTCCATGATGGTCGTATAAGTATTGATAACAACCCTCGCTCTGGCCGACCCTCTACGGTTACTCAAGACAACACTAACGCGACTATTCTCACAACTCTACTCGATGAAGATCGACGAATAACGGTGAGAGAGATAGAGAATGAAACAGGTATTTCAAAATCAAGTGTCACCGCATTTTAATGGAAATTCTACAGAAACGAAAGATTGCAGCACGTTGGGTGCTTCATTTTTTGTCACCGGAACAGAAGGATACACGCAAAGACATCTGCCGTGAACTCCTTTCTCGCTGCGAAAATGAAAAAGAAACGTTTCTTGATCGTATAATTGCAATAGATGAGACTTGGATCCGTGATTTTGAGCCGGAATTAAAATCTCAAAGCAATATTTGGAAGGGAATAACATCACCAAGAGCAAAAAAAGTTCGTCGCCAGCAAACAAAGGTGAAACAAATGATGATTTTTGCTTACGATAAACTTGGGATAATTGTCACTGATCGAGTTCCAATTGGCAGTAGTGTAACCGGGGATTACTACAAAACATTCCTTGCCAAAAAATTGCGACCAGAAATCCGTAAAAAGCGACCAGGAATGTTACAAAATGGTGTGTCCATATTGCACGATAATGCGCGGCCGCATATCNGTATTCGCCGGATTTAAGTCCCCCGGACTTTGATTTATTTCCAAAACTGAAGGAACCACTTAGAGGGATCCGTTTTCCCAACTTAGATATACTAAATGAAGAAGTGAGCCGAAGGATCCGTGAACTCAACAAAGATGGCGTCCTATGTGGCATTCAAGCGCTCCCGAAACGATGGCAATCGTGTATAGACAAGCAGGGAGATTATATCGAAGGTCTATAATATTGTATTTAGTTTAAAATAAAAACTTATTTATTCAGAGCAAATTGTGCATTACTTTTGGGACAACCCTCGTATAAGCAATCTACGGCTATGTTTGATTTAGGAAAACCGGTCAATTGCATTTCACGAATGTTCTTAAAAACTATTTATGACTAAACTGTACTGTAAGATTAAAGGTCTAAAACCGGACTTAAGTTTTGACTACTTTTATAAAATATCAAATTAAAATTATTTAGTTAAATCAAAATTCCACAGGCGGGCCAACGGGCGGGCCATGGCCCACCCTTGGCACCAACACTGCAGACCTGCATGCTGAGATTCTGTGAACATGTCAGGTCCCGATAATTTTAACATAATTATAAAAAAAATCAAAAATAACAAGAACGCGATAGATTTATAGTATTGAGTTTAACCAGTTGATGGATAAAGATATTAAATAATAAACTCGCATAAAATATCTTACGTTTACTCTCTTAATATATAACGTAAAACAAAGATCTGAAACCTAAAATAACCATGTTCAATTCAATATATTGATTTTTTTTTTTATAATAATGCTTTAACCTTTGCGATACAGTTTAAATAGTGTTTAGTACATCTTGTATAATATTGAAGTCATATTGTTGGTGAAATTTGCTCGAAAACCTTTATATGGATATACTTCAGAGTTTAAATAAACTTTGAGTTTTTTAAATTTCAACGAACAGTTATTAAATCGTCCGAACGGGTTCTGCAGGTTATTTTTTCGATCAGTTTGAAAGACAATTATGACGAATCTGGGCTTTTCTAATAAAATACTAGATTTAACCGTCCAAGAGTGCGAGGTATTTCCGGGAGATAGTTATTAATCACACAAGTACCACGGTCTCAACGCGTGCAATAACGATTTTCGAAAATCCAATACTTTTAAAAGTTTTAATTTCTCTTTATCATTAACTTTGACGACGGATAGCCTCCAATAAACCTTACTTAGTTTGATACTTATTTTTTTTAAATCCGTGTTTGTTTCGAAACTACCACCCGTAATACCAAGTGCATCAACATCAGTAGACACCAATTTAAAATCAACTGCTGATTACAATTGAGTATTATTTTTTCATAATCTTTGCAGAATCCGAATAAATATTTTAACTGTAAACATTCAAAAAATTTACTGTCGGACATAAATTCTTCATTATCATCAATGTCTAAATAAATATCCCAGACAGTGTTTTGTAGTTCATATAAAAGGTTACGTGTATATGAACAGTATCCTTTAAAAAAAAACCTATCCCAGGGGATTTTAATTTTTGAATTTCCGAGCTGTTCATCTCTTATCGAATTTCAGAAAACGAAAACGCTAATCTATTGTTGGCGAAGTTAACCTTTAACGAAAACTTTTAAATCGGTGACGGCCATTTTAATTACTTTTTCTTCGATAAAAATATAGCTTTGCACGACATAGTGTAAGTATCCATATTTTGAAAGGTATTCTAATCTCGTCGTTGCACGACATCGCTGTAGACGAATATGGTAAAAAAGAATGATACTGTATTCCGGTTGCTTTGCATTCATCTATGCACCCCTCAATCACATATACACATAATTCGTCCATTATTATATTTCTGCTTATTGTTCGTAAAAATGTTCGATTATTTTTCGTTAATTTCTTTTTTAAATTTTTCTTGATAGTTCTTTGTGACTGCAATGATTCACACGTTCGTGTTGACTTTGACGTGTTAGATATAATACTGTTCTCTTTTTTCGTTACGCCACTATTTATACGAATATTGAATTTGAATTTAAGCCCCATCACCATGTATGATCTGAATACGAACCGTGATTGGTTCTTCTCATAAATTTAATAAATTATCTTCTTAATCTGATAGGAATATATCCATCGTATTTACAGACGTGTGATTGATAGAATAGTATACCTAGTGCTTTAGAATTTCAATAATTTTAAAACCCGCAGGTACGGTCGGGAAAAATGTGCGTATAGTCTGTCCCGAATATCTGTTAAAGAATGAGCCCGTAATTAAATTGCAGTCTACTTTTATACAATTAACTTTAAAAATATTCACTAATTCCTCCTCGTATTAAGTTGTCTAGTATTTAGTATTTTTATCATAAATAGACACAACTAATAAGTTGATATTATAACGATATGTAATTAAATATTTATAGTTGATAATAGAAATAGAAATAATTGAGAAATCAAAAAAAAAAAAAACAACTTATTTAAGTAGAGTTGACCTATGATCTGTGGAAATGAGTTAGAATATAGAACTTAAAGGCTTATGTATTACAAGGTAGTCTTCCCAAATTCATTGTTATTGAGTTATTAAAAATACTCTTAAAGTTATTTTATTGTTATAAACTAATGTAAATGCTGAAGGACTATTACAAATTATTTACTTTAAATTTATATATTTATTATATTTATTATCACAAATAAATATTAGTACATTTTTTCGAGACGTTAATGCTGATATAATAAAAGATGTGCCATTGATTGAGTCTAGAAAAAAATATTTTTTGAATTTGAGAAATCATAATTCTTACAAAAAATATTTGATGTAGCAATAATAATTGCAATTAACTTAAATATTAGACTTCCTATTATGCAAATCAAACAATATAGGAAAAATACAATTCTATAAACAATTAGAAATTTTAAATGTGAAAATAGCACCAAAGAAAAACAATCACTTAAATCAGAAAAAGAATTTCAAACTCATTTATATTACTGTATTTTTGGTAATTTAACAAGCGAATTGGATAAAAGATTTAGTAATAATTCTGTATGTATAATTCTACACATATATTATGTGGAATAAGCGCATTTAATTCAAAGGCTACACATTTTCTAGATTATGATTTAAAAATACTTTTAGCAAACCATTACTCACGTGATATAGATTCATTAAAAGCAGAATTAAAAATAATTAAAAAATGTATAAAGGTGTATGAAGAAAAGTTTATATTAAAAATAACAGATGTTTTTTGGTTTATGCTTTTTTATGCAAATATCAAATAGCCTTCCCTAAAGTTTTTAAACTTTGTACCTTTTCATATATGAAACGTATAAAACATTATTTAAGAATTCCTTACTAGACAATAATTTATTAAATTTATCTATTATATCAACAGAAAAAAGTGAGGCAAAATTATTAGATATTGAACAAATTATTGATACTTTTTCAAATTCTCACCGTAACTGTAGAATCATTTTAAAATAGTTGTGTAATTATTTTTATTTGGTAGTTTTGTTGTCTGTAGTTATCTCTCTCTCTCTTGGTATTCAACCCTTAAGGTTGGTTTTGCAGTTGGACATGCGCTCTCCACTCTTCCCTGTTCCCAGCTAACCTCTTCAGTTCGGCGTAGCTTGATAGTCTAGCATCGGAAATCATTTGTTTGATAAATGAAGTTCTTGGACGCCCTTGGCCCCTTTTGCCTTCCATTTTCCCTTCTATTATTCTGTAGATTAGCTCATTTTCGTGCCTCAATATGTGCCCAATCATGTTCCATCGTCTTGTTCTGATGGTTTTGAGAGTCTCTCTGCTTTTATCTATTTCACTGAGTATGCTTTCGTTGGTACGGTGTTCTATCCAACTCACTCTCAGCATCCTTCTCCAACACCACATTTCAAAGCTTTCGAGTGTTCGTTGTTCTGCCTTATTCAGAATCCATGTTTCGCAGCCATATAATGCCACACTCCATATATACACTTTAATGAAGCGTTTCCTCACTCTAATACTCATGCTATTGGAGCATAACAAATTTTTCTTATTCATAAATGCTGACTTCGTCTGTGCGATTCTGGATCTTATTTCCATGACATATCTTCCATCTTGGTTGATTAGACTGCCTAGGTATCTAAAATGTTCCACTTGTTCGAGCAGCTGATTCCCTGTTTGGATATTAATTCTCCGGATTCTGTCTGATTTTTGGCACATCATAACTTTAGTTTTTTGTCAGTTGATAATCAGCTGATATTTTTGGAAGCACCTCGCCATTTCTTCCAGTGCTCTTTCCAAATCGTGCTTATTGCTAGCTAGGAGTGCAATATCGTCAGCGAATCTTAAGAAGGATATTATTTCTCCACCCACTTTTATGCCTATTTTATTTCTGAGAATTGTTTCTCTAATTTCTTTTATAGGCTGTTCGACGTAAATATTAAATAAAGCTGGCGAGAGTGGACATCCTTGTCTTACACCCTTCCTAATTATCGCCGTCTCTGTTTTGTCTGTAACTTTTATTATAGCTGATTGGTCTTTATATAAATTATATATTATCCTTCTATCTTTATAGTCAGCTCCTATTCCTTCTAAAGTATAGAATAGAACTTTCCATGGTACCTTATCGAAAGCTTTTTCCAAATCTATAAACGCTATAAATGTGTCTTTATTAAATTCTATTTGTTTTTCTATCAATAACCTTAAGCTTAAGATTGCCTCTCTAGTACCTTTGTTCCTTCTGAACCCGAATTGGTCGTCGCTTAACTCTTTTTCTACTATGCTCTCAATTCGGGTGCATATTATCTTTAATAGGATTTTGGCTGCATGTGCCATTAAACTTATTGTTCTAAATTCATTGTATTTATCTGCCGTTGCTTTTTTAGGTATAGGTATTATAATGCTTTCCTTGAAGTCTTTTGGGATCTCTCCTGTAGTGTATATATCATTCACTAATTTGAATAGCTCGTCTTGTAATTCTGTACTCGCATTNCCTGTTTTCATTAACTTTAAAGTTCTGCTGAACTCGCCTCTTAAGATTTCTTCTCCTTGCATATCTGGGTTGTTATTATTATTGAGATTAGCTGCTTCTCCTTCCTGGTATAGAGCTTCAAGATATTTTTTCCATCTTGTTGTTATTTTGTCGTTGTCCAGTATCAAGTTTCCATCTATGTCTCTTATTCTGCTGTTTAGTTTATTTTTTCCTCTAAAGAATTTCTTAATTATGTTAAACGCTTGATCCAACCTGTTATTCCTAAGCAATTGTTCCACTTCTCGGTACTTTTCTTCTAACCATTTCTCTCTTGCAAATTTTCCCTCTCTATTAATTTTGTTCTTCAGCTTTTTATATCTCCGTATTCCATGATTATCCTTGGCGTTTTTATACTTCCTTCTCTCTTCAATATCTCTTATAATGTTATCGTTTATCCATGATTTCCTAGGTTCTGGTGAGTTTCTTTTCAACGTGTTGCTGGCTGCGTTATGTATAGCATCCTTTATTTTATTCCATTTGTCTTCCGTAGTGTTACTTGGTAATAGCGGGTTTAACTTTATTTTTTCGTTGGTGTAGGATACATAAGCTGTATTTATGGTATTATCTTTTAGCATTCTTAAGTCGTATTTCCTTGATGTTTGATTTCTTCTTGTTAGTTTCTTATACACTACATTACATTTCATCATGAGAAGATTATGGTCGCTGTTCACGTAAGCGCTTGGATATGTTTTGCATCTATGTACTTGATTCCTGAACCTCTTCCTCACTATGATATAGTCGATTTGATATCTTCTGATATCCCCTGGCATTTTCCAAGTATATCTTTTTCTGCGGTAAATATTTTAGAATGTATTAGTTATGGTCATATCATGTTGCTTACAGAAGTCTACAAGGCGGTCTCCTCTTTCATTTCTAGTTCCTAGACCGAATGCACCTACTTCTTGACCCTCTGCACCTTCTCCTACTATAGCATTCCAATCACCCATTATTATTAAATTATCTTCTCCTTTTGCTAGTTTACAAAGCTCTTCTAGGCCAGAATATACCTCTTCTATGGCGTCATCTTCTGTATCTGATGTGGGAAAATACACTTGGATTAGTACTATATCATTTGGTTTAGCTCTAAGCTTAATCAATATAAGCTTATCGTTATATGTTATTTTGCTAGCTATTTGGTGGCCCCACTTCTTATTTATAATAAATCCTACACCCGCTCGTCCTGGTGTTTCATCATCAAAATAGATAACGCGGTAGTCGTCTGACCAGAAATCACCATTTCCTGACCATCTAACTTCGCTCACACCTAGTATGTCTATGTCTAATCTCATCATTTCTAGTTTAATATTCTCTAATTTGCTAGCATTTAGCATGGTCCTAACGTTCCACGTTCCGATGTTTTTCCATGGGTTTCGCTTAATGACGACCTGAGAAGCCTTGGATCTTCCCCTGCCGGTGCTGATATTTCCGAGTATATCTGCTCCTGTAACTTCTAAATCGTCCTCTACTTGATCCATACTGCTTTACTAGGAATTTTAATGTGGTGGTCTCCTTCTCCTTCCACATCGCAGTTGATGAGCCAATAACTGGAGTAACTTCAAGCTGCCTCATCAATTCCTTCCAATGCCGTTAGATCTGTTGCAGAAATCGCCAATGGTCGGTAGTAGCGGTTACTGCTGCCCTCCGCTACCTCCTTTTAATCGCCTTTTACGATGAGCAGGAGTTACTGTGTTCCTATTCTAACCCCGGACCCACAGGGGTAGTCTGTAGTTATAGTTTGCTTATATTATTTTTTTTTATTTTAAATTATATAATTTTTAAATAAATAGGTAATTGTACCTAATGTATTTATTGTAATCTAATTGTTACTAATATTAAAAAAAAATTGAATAGATTAATTTATAATTATATTCAAAATAGAAACAGAAATGCTTAATAATATTATGTATGAATGGTTTATTTAATTATCATATATGTTTTCCAATTCAATAATCTCCAATATGGTCTCTTGGTCATTTAGACCCGGTGCCAGTGGTGAAACCAGAACTGCTCAATTGGGGATAAGGACCAAAAGAATTAAAATTAAGATGAAATTAATAATTAGTTATTATAAAGGTACCTACATACGGAGATATCAACCCCTCCGCCCCAAGGATGCATCATTATTTCACGATTATGCCCACGGCCAGCCCTAATAAACGTTGGCCTCCGATTGGCCCGCCCTGAAAAAAAACTCTGGCGCCGCCATTTTAGGTTTGAGTTCAAGTCCCACAAAAGTTAAGAAATGTTTATATTTTGTTTTCAAAGTTTTACTGGAATAAGTAATAAAGTGTTAAAAAAAATATAAAAAAAAAACTGAAATATATTAACAAAGTTTTCCATAAAAACATCTATATATTTGGAACTAATAGGTAAGTTCCAAACTGATGTTTCAACATTCGTTTGGAATGTTACATAAACATTATACAAACCGTTCTTTGTACAGTGAGATTACTATTAATGTTATACATACAGAACTTACTTAATATTATAACAAAGATTCATATATTTCTTATGTAGTATCTAATTTAAGTGCGATTGAATATAATATATACAAAATATGTAATAGGTATATAAGTTTTGAGCGTTTACTGTCGTATAAACAAGGTTTATAAACCGGGGGTATGCGACCTCTAGGGATCCGCGAGAAGGTATTAGGGCGTTCGCGGAATAAAAAGCGTAATGGCGGCAAAAAGGAAATTTGTTGTATTTTATTGAAATGGCTTGTTATTTGTGAAATATTGTAAATATTGTAAATAGGTTTTTCATAATACATTCAAGTATAATAGGTATAATAAGAGTATAATATCATTATAGACGGCGGCACGTGTACACTATATTTTATCTAGTCTGATAGCGTAGCGTTGTTTAGGAGTCCGTAAAGCAGTGGTAAGAGGTCAAGGAGTACATGAATGAAAAAAGATTGAGAAACGCTGGTATAAACAAAAAAAAAATAATTTTTAGACAGTTTATAATGACATGAAAAATGGTTGCTTATTGCCACAACGCGCTATTAGAAAACTAATAATTCGAAATTGCGTTCCAGTTTGCCCAAATCGTTTCTAACGTAGCAACTGTAAGTCCCGTTGTGGACCCAATCAATCGAATGGATTTTAAGTTTCTGTTTGTTCTCTAAGAATTCCACACCGCTTGTTGTCCATTGATTTATGGGCATCACCGATTCTTTTTTCTTCCACACCACCTTAAAAACGCCAAATAATACTAATAATAAACATAATCCAATAATTTTGTAAGTAATATCAGTTTAAAATTTAAAATCACGTTTCGTTCGTACAATAAAATATTATTGAAAAATGTTTTTTTGCTTACTTTTGGTGTTGGATAACCGTCGGACATACAATCGAATAAAACCGTATCGTTTCGTTTCAACATAAACGTTTCCTCTGGATTTTTTATGAAACTTGGCGGAAATAGCACTTTCAGGTCGAACGTATAAGTGTTATTCGAGTTCATGCAAGTATATACGGCGGTATCTGCTATTTCGATATCGTAGATTTTTAACGACTGTTCTTTGATACTGAAATGCTTTACATCTGCTCGCTTTTCGACTAGACTGTTAATATTGGTTCCATCCTAAACACATTAATTTCATTACAAGTCACGAATAGATAATTACGCGTGTTATATACAAATTGAATATTATAGTTTTATTTGTGTACTCATTTATTGCAAGTGGAGGTTTACAATAGATGAGAGAATTTTTCAAAAGGGAAAATACGTACGTAAATTCCTATTATTCCTACTTGTCGTGGAAATTTCTACCTACAATAATAAACTATGATGAATAAATGTGAAGAAGTGCTTCAATAGAGTGGAAATCGTTTGTAAGAAGAACAATTTGGACAAGTTTAATTAGAGTGGATTAACCACATAATCGTGGCATACTGGTTTGTATTCAGGTCAATTGCCATGGAGTGGGGGGACCAAAAATTACAACATTTGTAAAGAATGAAAAATGTTTGTCTAAATTTGAATTTAAAAATTAAAGATAATTTGTAAAAGTATAGAAGTATTATAAGTATAGAACATCATATAATGCATGAGGGAGCCATGTTGCTTTCTCGTCCCTCTCAGGGAGGCCCCGTTTAAAACTTTGCAAATGAACAAATATGTGGTTTGTATTTATCAGTGAAAAAGAAAACGGACTACAGAAACGGGTAGGGTGAAGCCGAGAGTTGTTATATCAACTCTCGTTAAAACAATAGAAGAAGTACGTACAAGCGGAGACTTGATTTAATTTATAATAATTTTTTTTCCATAATTTTAAGACGCTATTAATGGTTTAGTGGACTAAGCTCCCCTAGATCCCCAATCTCTGTCTATAGAGAAAGAAAGAGAATTACGAGAATTTGTCCTTGTAAATTCTTATGACAAAGATTAATTATATAGCAATCGAATGCAATATTATTGCAAAAACTTTTATTAAAACTGACACAAGTAAACAGCTATACATAAAAGATAAGTTTTGATAATACCCTAGATTTGGATTTGTGTAGAGACGAACGGAGAACTAAATGGTCTAACAGTTGAGTCAAACTTAGTGCAAAGATAAAATCGTGGTTAAAAGTAATTTATATTTCACTACTAATACCACAACAGTTCGATAAAATATAATTTGAAAATGTTTACAAAAACCCATGGTCAATCACAGTTTATATGATGTGGTTAAACGAATTAAAATAAACAATGTGACAGAACTGACGAGCTGCGAAGACTGTACAGTATACGATTTATTTAATAACATCACGATGTTATATTAAAAAAAAAGAAAGAAAACGACGTCGAGATTCAAGTTGACATGGAGATCCGCAAAGGGGATTTAGATTAAACGCGGGGGGACGAGAAAGAAATCCTCTTGAATTTTTTTGCGCAAGATACTAAACTCTGACACACACCCACACATGTTTAAATTGAAAATAATCCCTGTTAAATTCAATTCGAATATTTATTGTTTTTAAAATTTGTTTGTAAATTAGGTGAGTAAAATTTTAAAATTCATCTGTCATAACAATATAACACTATAACAATAATACGATATGAGCACAGTCTGTGAATAGTTTCGTTTCTCACCTTCAACCAATTAACGCTGATGTTTTGAAACGGGCACTTCATGGTTACGTCTTCAGATTGTGTTTTGGTCAACGATTCATTCGCTAGCGATTTCGTCGTATTGACTATTTATATAGACACATAAAAATTTCAAGAAAAAATAAATATATATTCACATTATATACAGGCAATATCAAGAAGATCTGATACATGAAATAACTTTTGTTCTGTTCAATATTTTACGTTTCTTGTGAAAACTACTGGAGCTATGTGCTAGTCACTTTATTTAAAAACTAAAATAAAAAATTGTTTTTACAAAATCTTACATTTTAGTATTAAATAAGAAAAAATTATTAATATATTAAACTTATGACAAATCGTTAATTTTCCGACAAATTTAACAATAATTTAAATTGTTTTTATTGTCACTCTAAATAATATCTATCGATTGGCCTATATTTGTCCATCAAAAATGGCTTTTGTAAACTACAATAAATATTGTAGAAACTTGACTATTCGTCATAACTAAATATTTATACTGCCAACATTTTTTTCCACGATATATTTGTAAAATATATCTATCTTGGATTATGTAAAAACAATTTTGGAAAAAATTACAATTATTTATTTTTAGTTTTTAAAAGTAAAAAAAAAAACAGGACAGGGCTCTAGAAATAATAATAACAAGAAAAAAATTTTTGAAAATATTGAACAGAACAAGTTTTTTCAGATATAAAATCTTTGTGTTACATCTAGTATATATTATAATAAATGTGGTTTATAAAATAAAATTGTCGGTAAAAGAAAAAAAAAAGACGTCCTAGGATAATGGGGATGGATGCAGCCACTATTATAGATAATTTAATGTACAACACAATGCAATAAAAAACCATTGCCTACGAAAAAACGATTTTGTGCGGAGTTCAGTCGATAGTGAATACGTGTCAACAATAAATATGTAATTTTATAGAAAAGTAATTATATAGACTTTATATATTTTCTTTTATAATATTTGTTTAATGTTGTACCGATTTTTCCAATTTTCCTACGTTGTTTCCTGTTTTCATATGTTTTATCTTGATTTTTCACATTTGCTGGGAGAAATCATAAAAAATCGAAAAATAACCTGTCTAAAGTACCTCTCTAGTGAAATTTCCTTTAAGAAACATTGCTTTCATTAAAAGTTGGAGCAAAATCGCTGATAGAAAAGTTGTTCACAGAAAAAAAGAAATCGTTTATTATATATAATTTATTATATTTTATACATTTTCCCGTTTTTTTTTTAGGTTTTTGCATTTGATAAGAAAATCGAAAAATTACTTCCCTAATGTACCTCTTGACAACGGTTTCCTTTCACAAAAAATGCTACACGTATAAATTCGAGCAAGTCTTCTAGTAGAGAAGTTGCACTTTTGTAAAATTATAAGCTTCTTCAATCCACTCAGAATCTAAAATACTAATAAAATTTTTTAAGATAAATACGTAAATACACAAATTTCCGGTACACGTATAGATTTTTGGCAGATATTTGTGGACTTTAAAAAAGCGTAAGATAGCATATATATAGAGAGAGTCTGTATAATATTATGGAAGAATTTGGAATACCTTATAAGTGACATTTATCAAAATCTGTATGGAAGAAACAAAATACCACGTAAGGGTAGACAGCACATTATCGAAGATTTTTACAGTAAAAACCTGCTCAAAAAATGGCAACGCATTATCCCTGTTATTGTTTATTTTAGCTAGAAAAAGCAGTGAGAATGATGCGAGTTGAAGCAAGTGGGGTGGCGGTTAATAACTGCTGGGTACATGTTCTGGGTTTTACGGATGATCTGAATATTTTTAGTGAATAACTGGAGAGTGCTTTAGGTTTAATCATGGCTCTTAAAAGGGCCGCAGCAAAAGTAAAGTTATGGATTAATATGGAATAAACCAAAATAATGGAGCTATCGACGGAAAACCATACCAAGACGACCTAGATGCAATGGCTTTTGAAAAAATTGAAGAATTCAAATATATAGGACTGATGTTCAGTACAAGGAATAATTGGTTTTTGAGATTAGCATGAGGATAGCAAAGGTAGAAATAGCATCTTTTGTACTGTCCAAATTTCTCAAATCAAAAGACCTCTCAAAAAAAAAAAAAAAAACAAAATTAAGACTGTGGCACGGCGATAATTAGAACCACTCTTAATTATGGGTGTGATGTGTGGACAACGACAAGTGTGACAGTGAGATAACTTAGAGCTTTTGAAAATAAAATATGGAGGATGATATACGGAACTGTTTGGGATACAAGGATAAATTCATAGAGAAGAAAGTTCAATAAGGAACTTCAGGAAGAACTGAGCTTAGCACCAGCCACTTGTTACATAAAAGAACAAAGAATTCAGAGGTTTGGTCATATTATGAGAAGAAGCTAAGAAGAAATCATCAGAGCAGTTATGGAATAGAAAACGAAAGAGAAAAGGTAGACGACCGAGGCTAGATGTAGTAGAAGAGGATCTAGGAGTACAAGAATGAAAGGAAATTATTCAAGATCGATAGAGATGGAGGTATGTAGTAATGGTAGTAAAAATTCTAGTAGAGTTGTAAATGCTAGTGAAAAAGAAGAAGAAAACAAGAAAAAAGTACATATTACCTAAATACACGTCAATACTCATTATTAAACATTACAATTTTATATCTGTTTTTGTAGCACATGATTATATAAACTATAATTGTTTACACTTAGTTAATAGTGAATATAGACTAAACGTATAAATGTGTTGTACTAGTTTACTATTAACTAAGTATACCTTCATACATTTGAATAACCATGATAATATCAACATTAAAAGAGCATTAAACTAAAGATAATAAATCTTCATAATTATCTATGCATTAAATAAAAATAAACATCTTCAATCGTGATTAGAAATATTTTGGTGTTTTATCAATATGCATATTATATGATAACAGTATATTTGGTGAAATTGGGCGAATTTATCTGAGTACTTGACAATTTTGGGCGATTTTAACACTCTGTATTAGCGATTGTACTTTTGAACCTCTTGGCAATCTTGGTGGTCGTGTTTAGGAAACCAGTCAGATACTGCGATAGGTTACCATCCACGGATACGGAGACCCGTAACCACGATAGGTCACACCTAGGAATACACACCTTTAACAATAATATTATATTTTTTTTCGGCGACTCCGTTTATGTTCGTAGCCCTGCATGTGTACAAGTTTGAATCGCTCGGCGTTGCATCGAAAATAATCAATCTCGAACCTTTGTAGACGAAAATGTGATCTGAAAACAAAAAAAATAAAAAAATAAAAACATGTTAGTTATCAATGAAGAATGATAAAAATAAAAATATGAAAAACAAAAAATAACATACCCGAACTTATGAAAAACCATTCCATTTTGGGCGATGGATTTCCGTTGCCCGAACACGTCATTGAATAATCTTCGCCTTCATACAGAACGACGGTTACATCATCGTTCCCTGCATCAATCGTGGGTTTTACTGAAAAAAAAAAAATCATTAAAATGTCGAAATCGAGATACCTATAGATTGAAGAATGCATTTTTATTTTTTTCAATTCTTTTGCATTCTACTCGAAAAAAAATAAATTATACAAGTACATATTTACTGTTAACCAGTGGTGTAAATTTGTTTCACAGTGATATGTGGAGGGGGTCAAAAAGAAAAAGTCTTCATACTTTGCACAATTGGTGGGTCTCACCCTACTGTTGTAGGTGAGAATTTGAGAAGGTAGAATATATAGAAGAATTTAATGTATATTCGTAAGCAATGATTAATCTTTGCTAATGAAAAACGATTCTGAAAGGAGTTTGGTAATAAATGTTTTGAAAGGTTGTAATATTTACGATTTTCGTCAAAATTTAATATTAAAATTCTTAAAAAAAAAAAAAAAAAAATACTACATTAAACCCAACTTCTTCTTGTTGAACACTTATTATAATTCGTAATGAACTTCCTGTTAAATAACCAAGCATTTGTGTTTGGTCAAACAATTTTACATAGAGTACCTACCGAATAAAAATTACGAAAAAAAACTAGCAAATTATAATCTCTATAAATAGCATACAAATAACAGAAATTTCTAAGATATTTTACCACGTCTAGTAAAGGCAAATATAATATTTCTATCCAAATGGTCTCTATGAATATTTTAAACTTGATTATAAAAAAAACAAAATTCAAAATAATAAAAGCATTAATTTTGTAAATTGTTCCGGTTTCCCTATGATTTCACCAGTTTTCCCAATTATTATAAAAACCGCTTGGAAAATCAAAAAATAGCCTTCATAAAGTACCAACTTGATAAAATTTCCTTTCAAAAAATATTGCACACTTGAATTTCGGTTTAAAATTTTCAGTAGGAAAAAGAAATCGAAAAAATATAAAATAATTTTTTTTCAACGCCATAAATATTTGTTCGTTTTTCCTTGTGGCTTCTAATTTTTTTGAAAACCGGAAAATAAAAAAAAAAACGACTTCTCCAATGTTCCAACTACATCAAAAATTTATCGTTTCGGTTTATGATTTGGAGTAAGGTTTCTGGTTAAAAAATTGTTAACAGACACAAAAAATAAATATTTGTATATGGTATTAAATAAAAAAACGCACAGGTCATTGTAAACAAATACATTCCTCGCTCCGCTCAGAATCTAAAATATAGCTATCTAAATAAAACACAACGCACGATAGTTACCTATAATAATATATGATATTTATGCTACTATCACCAAGTTCAAAATGTTTACACAGGAAAATTTAATATTTAAATATTTTGAAAATCCAATATTGTTATTAAATTTAATCAGATCGTCCGAAACTTAATAAAGAAGAGGCTGTGGTGAAAAGCGATCAATCGATCGTTGAAATGTTATTGATGTCGTTGATTGTAAGTATTAAAAATTTGTAAATTAGCCACGAACAGGATCCTTAGACGGAAGAAAATTGATTGAATTATATTATATTATTCAGAATAGATAGTTGATAATATAGATGATGGTTATTAATATAATTAACTATATAAGCACTAGACACTATTTAATATTATTAAAGTGTCATAGTGATATTATCTTTCTAGACGTCATATTATAATAGAATTCTAAAACTATTTTACTATATTGGCTACAGATAGGCCAGTAATGCATTACATAATTATTAATCACGGTCTACATAATGTTTTAAATGTTATACGGATTTTATTTAAATGTATAATATTCTTTTATCGTTATGCTGCTGATGTATAAACGTATTTTTTGTTTCGGTATTCATTAGTTATATCTAGAGAGCGTCCCGTAGGAGGGTCAAGTAGGGACAGTATAATATTTTGCTCCCCCCACTTGACAAATTCCTGTGGACGGTCCTTGATCATATCTGTCCGTCTAATACAGGTCTGTTTGTGTAGACTTATATGACAGACTTATATTTGGCCCCAGGAAAGAGGGGCTAAAATAAATATTTGTAATTTTTTTTTTTTTTATAATTTTATCTGATGTGATTTTCTCCTTTCATTTTTTGGTTTAAATTGTATAAGTATATTAATTTGTTAAAATAAGTGTATACATAACAGTGCATTAGTGACTAGTATATTAGTTTATTTACAAATGTATACATTTCAAAAAATATTTATTTCGTATGTATTGAAAACTTCACAAAATTGACTTTATCCCTTCTTCCCTGAAACCAAACTCCGGCCTACATTCGATTCAAATTTGATTTTGATAAAATCCAATAAGAAAATGTCTTATGTGAAACCCTATATAATCGAGTAGTTGAAAAAAAATATTATAATCTAGGAACAGTAACATGGTGTATTCGACGATTTGTATCCTCAAATTTCATGTTTTCGCAAAAAAAAGCAGGTTTTAAATACCTTTACATACTCATGAAAGTGAATTACATAGTTAAAATTTATATTTATATGAAATTTTTGTCAAGTAAGTGCCTTTAGAATGTTTGAACTTTCAACCTCTAATCACACCATCTACTTGTATGTCACCGAAAATCTCGTGAATTACTTTACCTATTTTAATAAAAATTTTCTATTTAATTCTTTTAATATTGTAACAGCAATGAATCAACTGGGGGGGGGGAAGTTTAACACTAGTCACGGAGATATGATATTTATAAGATTCGGGGCGAACAAGGAATATATTGGTTTTACTGTGATGTATGCGCTTTTTTCTGTGTGTAAACAACTATTCTACCAGACGTTTTGCTCCAATAAAAAAATGATAAGAAACAATTTTTATCTGATTTTGTATCAAGTAATTTTTTTGATTTTCCAAGCAGTTTTTACAATAATTGGTAAAACCAAAAAAATACGTAAAATGGAAACGGACGGCATGGTGCTGCGTTACGATTTCATTATTTAACATTGTGTTTTCCACAAGAAATCTTGTTATAAATAAAAAAACGACATGTGACCTTTTTTATTTAATTTTGAATCTGGTTAACGATTAAGAAAGTCAGTGTTTGATATTTTGTGCTTTAATTGTGCAAGACGTAGTAAAATTTTTAAAAAATTCTAGCTATGTTTAGGCTATTTAAAGACATTTGATATTTTCGTGTTTTTATATGGTAGGTATCTATTAATAAAATTAAACGATTTAAAAGAAATGCTTGAATATTTAACATAATTTACATTATAAGTTGTATTTAGTGCTCTAAAAAATAAATTTGAGTTTAGTGTATTTTTGATATTTTTTATAAGAATTTTAAGATTTAATTTAGAAGAAAATCTTAAAAATTATGGCATTTCAAAACGTATATAACTGAACTTCGTTCAGAATTTTATTTCGTAAGAAACGGCTTATTGTTGCTTACAGATATAAATCAAACAATTGTATGTACCCTTTCTGTCCGGTCGTTACGTATTACGGTTTAATAAAATGTCGAAAAAAATCAGATTAATAATACTTAATTAAACTTATTTTATTCGTACATACCAACTATCATGACTTCGGTCATAGTTTCCGAATGGCCCAGCACATTTTGTGCGGCACATGTATATGTGCCCACGTGTTGTTGACTCACGTTGTGAATGGCAATTTCGACTCCGGAACTTTGGCTGAAAATAAAATTACAAAAAAAAATCCTCGATATAATATTGTACGGATATATGTTAATGGAGGATCCAGTAGGACAATTTCCACATCCTTACCAAAAAAAAAAAATTGTATAACATACTATGGTTATATACGCATGATATGTACGATATCACCGTATGATGTCGAGATAAAGACGAAATACATTAAAATTAATGTAATTATGACAAAAATCAATGTTTGAGATTTACGTTAAATCTGATAAGACAACCAAAATAAAATCGCACACTAATTTTTCGAAAAAGAAAAAAACAAACCGTGAACAATTACATTCTAGCCCCATAATAGTGCGCCTCTGGTAAGTACGTTGACCGCTGAATCCGCCTTTGAGAAATCTTTTCGCTTACTTGAAATACAAAGGAGGTTTCTTGTGACCGTTAAACGTCCACGTTACAGTGAATGGTACCAGCGATTCGACGTGACAGTTAATGATCAGTTCAGCACCGAGTTCGACGGGTATTTTTTTTCGCATAGTTAAGTACGGCACATCTACGTAAATGATCAGAATTGTATTATTTTTAAAGGCATGTTTCGCGGTGATCAACCATGTAATAGGCTATTTTTACCGCCATATACCGGGTATTCTACGTCCGGGTATATCTCTTGAGATAATAAAGATTATCAAATTCTGTTTTTTTTTTCGTATAATTATATATTACTCGCAAGAATAAGGACTATACATACATATGTATATTTGAATTAAATTTTTATGTTTTGGTGAAAAAACTAAAAGTAATTAGTTTTTATTATATTATTTTTGAAAACAATTAAAGATAACCATTGATAGAGTATTTATTCTTTTGAACATTCTAAACATCAACTTTTTATTCCCATTAAATTCGTGATTTTTAATACATTTTTGAAGTTTAGAGAAAAATACCTATAATTATACAGCAGGCTATAATCGCATTCGCTAATAGATTATTATTATTATGACTCATTGATTGCACACTTTTTTTCTCTTGACTTTATAAAATTATTAAAAATCACGAATTTAATGAAAATCAAAACTTGATACGTCAAATGCCCAGAAGAATAAACTCTATACAAATGACTATCTTTAATTGTTTTCAAAAAGTTATTTTATTTTTAGTTTTTTCATGAAAACATAAAAAATCAATTCGAATATACATATTTGTAATCCTTTCCCCGTGTGTAATAAAAATAAAAGAAACACAATTTGATTATCTATTTTTATTATCTACGGAGATATTACTATATGGGTGTATACCTTCGTGAAACACCCTATATATTTATGTCCTTTTGTAAAAATATCGAGGTGGTAAATATTTCCTATATTTACGTACACCGTTAAAATGCATTGTGAGGGGTAAATAAATGCTACGTTATTTTCACCTACTCGGTAAATAATATATTCTACGCTTTTTGCGGACGTGTATAGCATTTAAATTTAAAAACATTGTCAAAATATCGAAAATCACTATTGAGGTTTTCCATTCGTCTAGCAGCCTTTAATATTACCCTCAGTTAGAATTTTGATTTTTGATTTTTCTGTTCGTTTTTACAGGCAAAATAAATATATTCTATGTTATTGTTATATGTTCAAGAAATATCGCCTTAGAGCTTACAACAAATTTCAAAATATCGAAAACCACTGTACCAATTTTTGATATCACTATCCAAATCTAAAACAGTCACGAAAAGCGCACAATATATTTACATAAGTATGTAAAAATAACATGATTTTTAATATATATTCACTAAAAAAAAAAAAAAAAATAATAATAATAATACATTTTTATTTATTCACATATACAATTTTCAAAATCGCCATTTTGTAAAATATATTGTTCTGAACATTTAAATGTAAATACATATCAGATCAATAGTTTTTTATTAACAGTAGTTTTAATTTCTAACATTTTAACTTTATAACTGTGAATCGAGTTATTAGTTAAGAAAAACTATTGATAATGAAATTAATGTATGATGAATGTACATCAATATTTTTAAAGTAATAAAATATTTTAAAAATTGTGTAAAGTGAATAAATAAAAATTTTTTTTTCAGTAATTATGGGATGGAAATAGTAATTTAATTTTCTCTAAACAGATATCCTCTTCAAAGAAAAGCAGAATGAAAAAGTGATTTAAAAAAAATTGAATATTAACAGCTCTAAAATAACCCGTCAAACACAGAGGGGAGGGGAGAGGACCACTCAGTATATACTTAATAATATTATTTTTATCGTGATACGAAAAAGCGCGGAACATAATATTTACCGGGTTTGGCGGAAATTATGCTCATTTGGGTAATCCGTTTGAAGCAATGTCCGTTTTTGCTTTTGCCATTTATCTATATAAATTGTCATAAAAAAATAAAATAATAATAATATGTATTGTTTCACAAAAATCGAAAGTGTTTAATAACATATTTTTGGTCTGTTTGAATATTTTGTGTTAAAATATTCTGCGTCATCCTTTGGCTGGTCGATTTATAAGAAGTAGCCGTCATCATCGTTTCGACATAATGCCACAGTACCGTTAAACCAAAAAAATACACGATGAAAAACTATCCAAATCCAAATAGGTATGAAAAATTGTACAACTATTATCATGCGTTGTTATGAAGACACAATATAAGGTGGGTATTTGGGTATCTATTCATACTGCGATAATTAAATATCAATCGTATCAAAATAATATTATATTTTTTCTTCTGTATAAATACCTACGCTAATTGAGTTTTATACAAATGTAAAAAAAATATGACCCATCACGACAATTGAACATAATATAATTACTATGAGCATTGCAATTAGTAAATACTAATTTTATAGGTACCTATATAGCTGTTATTGAGATCGTGAATGTTTTCTTGTTCGTACTAACACGAGCAACGATTATTGTTGTGTTCGTGTGCAGCGGAAAATTTGAAAAGAAATAATTGCATACTTCAAAAACACTAGTAAAGCAAAAAAAAAAAAATGTCAATGCATATTATATAGCATTACACACACACACACACACACATTTCTATAATCGGCATACATACACACACACGGATAAAATTCAAATTTAAATTTTTTTTAACTTTTTGACTTCAACCAAGAACGAATGGCGTGTGGTTAAGTTGTGCCTAAACTATTTATGATATCACTTGGACATTTTTTTCGTACATGTTTTAAGATTAAATAAGGAATTTAAAATAGTGATGTGAAATAAATCTGGATAATCCGAAAATACAGATTATCGAACGTCGGCAAATACCCGGATACTTCCCATCGAAAATTTAAACATATTTTTCGTCATAATTATTTCTGTTGGATTTTTGCTTATTGATTTATTATGACTTCGGTATTTTACATTATTTGTACAAAATAATAAAGCCATTTAACAATGACCCCTCAAGGAATAAACAAGAAAAATAATATTTTCAATCTATATAAAATTAAAATTTTAACTATGGTTTATATTACTTGTATATTTGTTTTGATATCTAATTAAATATCTCGAGGCATTTTGTTACACGAGGTGACGAGAACATGCTTAAGATTAAATCATTATATTTTAGTCGATCAATATTTATAATCGGGTTTTGGTATGCACTTTGTAACAATATCGACTATAGTCTATTTGTATTAATGGTATTTAATATAGATTACGTTATTAAACCAACATTCTAATATTATTATTAAACTATATCTGTTTTATAATAAAATCGAAGAAGTCATTTCTTTGTGGTGTTCTCTGGGTAAATAATTTGTACAAGTAGTGAAAAATACTCGAGAAGTAACAATAAATTGATAACCAAATGTCTAAAATAAATTATTTCTATATATGTTTGCCAAATTGTTGAACGTAAAACTACGGGCTAAAAGAAGATAATCATTTATCATACTTGGGCGAAAAGAAAGGTAATTTGCATACGAATTGCGTCCCGGTTTTTTTTTTGTCTTCATACATTAGTTGCGTCCCGTAAATTATATGAGCTAAGCAATATTTCCAAATGAAATCGACAACCATTCAGAGTTATCGTTCAGTAAACCAAACTGCTAAAATAGCTATAAACGTACTATCTTTCAAAATCAGCAAAATCAATATTTAGAGAAAATATTATGACATTGATTTTGTTTCATTCAGACATAAAATGCAGTGTGAAAATGCAAATTAAAATTTGTATCCATCAATAATAATGGAGAACGGCATTTATTTTTACTACACCTACAATAAGGTTTTCATTTCATCTGGCATAATCAAAAATGTGTGAAATTAAAACTTAAAAGTAATACGTGGTCGGCGGTGAAACCGACTAAGTAAAGCCGCCAACACTGGAATGCGACACGAATTTCCGCCAGTTCCAATATAATTTTTAAATATTTTCTTTTTGAAAAATATAATAATAATAATGTAATTACTTTAAGCAAATGTACCAGATGCCATATAATATAACTACGTACAAAAACGATATTTTCGATTAAAAATCGCGCCAAGGATATTTTTGTCATTATATTAAGTTATAATACGCGTAAATTACCACAAACAGTGCCGGTTTAGCCCGGGGTGCTAAGATACAACTGTCACTAGACTCCCCGGGTCCTAAGTTTAAAACTAAATTAAAGGCGAATCAAATTAAAAAAATTGCCATCAAAAAATAAATACGATCATATAACCATAAAAAAAAAAAAGGAAACAGGCGAGTCTTTGACGAAATAATAAAATAAATCAAATCGCCATGGAAAATACTGAAAGTTCAACATTTTTTTTTCTTTTAATTATTTACCACATATTATAATTACATACATTGGTTTTATTTATTGTGTATATTTAATTTTTTGTTTTAATGAGGTTTTAGTTTTTAGATTCTTTGAAAGGTACTTAGTAGATACTCATAGTCTATATTATGTAATATAATGTATTTTATGTACTTAATCACAAAATAGGGTTTAATGGGTTAGTACGTGGTACATATAATATATAATATTTTCTATTTGTTTAACCCAAAGGGTTTAATGTTAATAATTACGAAGATAAATTATTAAACCTTTGAATATTCAAATATTAATTATTAACTGTCATGACATATATATATATAAGTATTTCAGATTTTCAAAAAAAGAAAAAGCCCTCGAAGGGCCACGGGTCTTTTTGTCTCAGTCTGCTACTGAGTACACAAGTATAAGTACATGACAATCATATTATATATTTTGTATGTATATCGCAATGTATTTTAATACATTGTCGTGTATTAGTTTTTAAACAATAGTTTGTCTAATAAAAAAATCATTTGATCGCCCACTGACCTGAAGGTAAAACGGCTTGTCGTCGGGCAAAAACGGACCGCACAGTAATATATTTCCGGTCGGGAAAATCGGTAACGGTTTCGTTTGTTTATTGTCCAAATCTTGTATCATGCAAGAATTGAATTCTTGAATATTCGGAAAATCAATCAGTACGTAGTTTTTGTTACCTGTGCATGTTATTATTGACATTTTAAAAATATATATATATCAGTATAGGTTAAATAAATTCGGCGCACACCATTATTCCAATTTCCAGTGTATTCAAAATAAACATTTTGATAACGTGCCCAGTAAACGTAATAAAGGTAATGTAATAGTGTCCGTGTATCATGTTTTTTTAGTGTTATTAACAACACCTTTTTCCCAACCAATTGCAATTATCTCTGAGTTTTCATTTTTCAAAGTACCTAGATAGCCGCGAGTTATGATTTAAAAATGATTTTTTATCGAAATACTTTTTGGCATTCTTTCAAGTTTTATTGCAGTAGTATAATACTTAGGTACGTTGTTGATATTTCACATTTTAGATGTTTTTTTTAAAATACGTTTCTTAACTGGCACCGAATCGTTTCATGGAATCATTGTTTATGAGTGCACGCGCTGTGCTTATCTTTTACTTTAACATTTTCAATATTTTTATTTTTAAAAGATTGTTTTTTTTCTTTATGTAAGATATTTTTAAGAAATAGTGTTTTTACTAAATTGCTTTACTGTTATACTATCATTGACAATTTTCATCCAAGGAAGAGACTATATTGTGTATGAATACACAGTATGTATATTATGTTTATATATCTTTTTCTCTAAACATTTGGACATTTTTCGTAAATAAAGAAAATCTCAAACTCGGAAATTAGAGGTAGTTTTTTTAGGCCGGTTACAATGATACAATTTCGGTTGAATTTAAATAAGCAATTTACCATGTTGTTGCGAGACGATAGTGCTTTTTTTAGCTTTGCACATCTAAACAGACCTTTTCAATGCAGAGGATAACATTTTGTGTATACATGGGGAGAGTATCAAGAATATGCTTTTAGAAGGTTTGATCTTCTAACCTCCGACCCCATCGTTTGTTTGTATATTAGTGAAAATCTCGAAAACTACTTTATCTATCTTGATAAAACTTTATTTTGTTAAATTCCTTATCATTGAAAAAGCCAAAAAACAAAAAACAAAACCATGAAACATTTAACGACAATAAGTCAGTTGGGGAAAACTCGATTTTAATGACGGAGCTCTGCTGCTCATGTGTTTTTTTTTTACGTGCCATCATCATATCATATTTTTTATTTCTATATTATTAGAAAGATTTTTAGTTGAGCCTCATTTATGTGCTTCACTACTCTCCCCCTATCAAAACTTAAAAGTAGAATATCTCATTAATGACTTGACGGAAAACAACAATTTTAACATCAAAATATATTTAAGCTAATACTCCATTGATTTATGGAACTTTCAATATAGGTTGCTATATTTTAAAATAAAAAAAATGGGTAAATGTATTACCTCCAATAATAAGGGTGATAAAAAACAACGAAAATTTAAAAATTTAGAGCTGATTGTTAACTTGTTTCCTATATTTTCCAAAAAAAAATTCTGATAATACTTTCCAAGATAATGAGTGCCTTATCGAGATTCGATCACCCTGTATAATAAAGTACCTCTAAGCGGCCTATGACTCGTTTGTGTTATATTATTCGGTTGGGCTGTAGAAAATCCGAAGTTGAAATTGTTCAAGCTATCGCTATCGCCAACCACGCGAATTGAGTGAGCGGAATCACTGGTTACGCACAATTCCCATATGCCGGGTATGGGGTCCTAAATAGGAATAACAACATTAATATATTATAAACGGTAGGAGCGAACGCAGAAAAACATTTTGGTGGGAGAATGGGGGGAGGGTTACAAAAAAATCTATTACGTTTAACTTTTAACCTTTGTGTTGCTGCAAATTAATTTATTATATATTATTAGTTAAACGGTGATGTATAAATCGGAAGAAATTTAAACCCCTACCCCCTCGCCCTGCGTTCGCCATTGATTAACAATAAATTCGGCTGTATTATTCATGCATATTGATATATTTTTCTCTGATTTCCTATTATCTAAAGAAAAAGTGTATTTGATTTGCTGCATAACTCACCATAATTTTTCCGATTTTTATATTTTTCAAGTTCAGAGTGATTATTATGTTAGTGATAGTTTTGTTGGGATTCAGCAGCTTGATACTCGGATTAATACCAGACACGGATATCGAAACATTTTTGATGCTCTCGTCGATATACAAGAGCCACGGATTCAGATTATTTATTTGAACTTTCGGTACGTCCACAGACAGCAAATTTACCTTGTTCTTTTTCATCGACGTTTTTATAAACTCTAACACTTTTGTTAAATCATTTTTGTCCACGTTGATCACGTTACCCGATCCGAGCGACGTTATACGTTCGTAGCTTGTGTCCATATCGTGGCAACTTCCCGTTTTCAAAACGATCACCTAAGTACGATATTTTTTTTACAAAATTACAAATTACATATTATATTATAAACTTATCTTGTGAATAATTATATTAACGGTTCGCATATCGTTTATATAATTTGATTTGATGTAACGCACGCCATGAAGTTTTTTACTAACACGTGAGCTGTCTTCACTGTTTATAATTTAACGACGAATCGGATTATTTTATAAAATTGTTTTTGACATAGACAATAATAATTTAATAATATAATAACATTCGCATCTACCCGTGATTGATAATACAAAATATTGTATTTGCCGAAAAACTTTGTTACACCGCGCCGTACGGATTTAATTTTAATCAAACTATTTTATATTACATATAGTACAAGAATCATTTATTTCCTCAACATATTGGTTTATTTCAAGATATAATAATGTATTATATGGTGCGACTTTTGATGTTGAACAGTTACACATATTAATAATGAGCTGGTGAGGTAACAAAATTGCCGTGCATAACAAATTTTATCAAAGTGACTAATAGTTGTGTATTTAAAATTTTTTTTTGGGGAAAATTTCTATTTAATGATTATAATAATCTATTTCTAATCCACCAAATATGGGCTAATTCTTTAATTAAAAAATAGCGTCGGTTTGGTTTTCTAGACATACTATATTCGCTATATCTAAACCATTAAATTGGAAAAAAACAAAATTGTATTCAATTTACATTATTATAGGTCTAAAAAATGACGGGTCACCGAGATAAAGCCAAGGTATATACCCAAAAAGCGTTGGCTGGACGGAATTAATGAAAATCCGGAGAAAATATAAAATATTCATCGGGAAGAAGAGATTTATAGAGATTTATATAGATAAGAGACAGATGGAAGAAAATTATGTTAACATTGTGCTATAAGCTTTTAAAGGGGTATAAGCTAGATAAGAAGAAAAATATTCTTTCGACTTTCGGCAATTGATCAATATAAATTAATATTGTGTTCGCATAATATTTCTTAATCGAAATCGATCGACGGTTATGACAATATAATGTAACGTGCGAACCGGCGATGTAAAAGACGTAAGTCGTTGGTTATATTTAGTAAAAATTAGTAAGTCGGTAACCTGTAAAGCGTGTTATCTCAATAAAATAAAATAAATAAATAAGTTAACTATATAGTTGTTTTATGAATAATCATGAATAGGTAATACACAAATATAGGTAAAGAAATTATATTCCCGGTAAGACAGTAAGAAGTAAATTATTTTTTATTGTGATTAGCTCAGCTTCTGCAACTATAGCTTACAATTTGACTATTTCAATTATATGTGTTGCAAGTATAAAATATGTAACAAAGTGAAACGCTGTTTAATATATTGCATCATTTTTTAAACGTTAAAATTTTTAGAGTAAAAATCGTTTTATTTACCAGCATAATGATACAAGAATAATCTACTCGGGATTTCTTTTGAATCTCAGCATCACAGGGATGTGGATAAAAAACCGTTCGTTGTTGCCATAATATTAATACCTATGCAATGTGTAATGAGTTTCTGATTATGAATTGAGGTTCTTTAAATTAAATTTCGTGCGTACGTTTGTACTCCGCGTCTATTATAATAATATTGTTGTGGTAATAATTTTCCGAAATTCAAACTTCAAATTCGAAAAAATAAACGATTTTTAAATATTTACAAAGACATAGTATTTATTAGATATGTTAAAATAATTTTATTCAGGATAAACATTAAAATAACTAATGATCGATCAAAATTTGAATGTTGTACAACATTATTTCCTCTGAAATGCGTCAGAATAATATAAGAACCAACGTATTTTCTTTTTTGATTCAGATTCATTATAAATTATATAGATACTTATTATGTCATTTTATGTAGACTGCAAACTGTTCCCAGTAATACGTGTCCAACTTTCAAAATCAAGTAATCGTATATTTGTATTATTATTATTTTTTTTTTTTTACGTCTATTTTATGTTTCTATTATTTGATAGGGGCATCAAAATATTAATCCAGTCAATATTCTTCACACATATCTACATTGTAGATTTTGACTAAACTTTAAATTGTACAGCCGATAAGAAACCAGAATATCTGGGCTACAATTTATGTACATTTCAAAAACACCAGTTAACTGAAAAATTTAAAGATTACCTAGTATAGTAATACTCTAGGATATAGATAATATTACCTATGTTCACTGATATAAGTTTTTACATTTTTACGTTGCTCTGTGTGTATTTTTTTTTAAATAAAAAGTATTTAGGCATATTATATTTCATACAAAATATACCCGGCTGCAATTTATGTATGTATAAAATGTACTCAGGACGCAATTCACGTATGTATAAAATATACACGGGCCGCAATTTTTTTTTAAAATTATCTGAACGCACTTTAACGAATTTTTTAATACGAGATTTCCGTGAAAGTTATTTGAAGTATATTTGGTGGATTATCATGTATTTTGCACAAAGTGTAAACACAATGTATCATATCGTTAATTCATTATTTATTTATTTTTCATTATAACCATGCATAAAAAGGTAGGTACCTTTAAAGATATACTTTTGATATATTTTTCGAGACGGTAAACGCCATTATTATTAATATTTTGTTTTTTTTTTTTTTGCAGTTAATTACTTGAGATTTTTTCCTTTGCATTAGTTCCAGGGCTTCGTTGACTAAATGAGAATCTTTAGCCGACGCGTCGGTGAACACATAAATATACGAATTCGGTTTTACAACTTTCAGCGCTTGTATTACGGCACTTATACTCATTTCCGGACAATCATAGCCTCCTACTGTTTTTATATGATTGAGTTCATCCATAATTTTATTCGGATTGAATGTTTCCGTTACAGGACCCACGTCTGTTTTAACAGGACAACAATAAATAGTTAGGTAATAATATTATATTATTGTAAATGTATATAATAATAGTAGAAAAAAACCATGTAGATATTTTCCAGGTCAATCCAGGATGGAGGTAATGGGATACATTGTATAATATGCGTAATAAGTAGAAGAAGATTACATTACAACGGACTAGACATATTAATTGTATAATATAGTAGTCAGAATAAGCTAATAAAACGGTAATACCAAAAAGCAGAGAATCCATTTAGAAACAAAGACTTCTAAGAAATCACATAACGAAATGGAAAGATGTGTAATAAAAAAGACGTCATAGGATAATGGGGACGAGTGCAGCCACTGTTATAGATAATTTAATGAATACCTGTAAGCAATGATAAACCGTTGCTTAAGAAAAAACGATTCTGAGCGGAGTTCAATTGATAGAGATGCTTTTTCAGCAATATATATGTCATTTTGTAGTAAAACAATTAAATAGGCTTTATATATTTTCTTTAATAATATTTGTTTAATGTACCGATTTTTCCGTTTTTTCTACGTTTTCACCGGTTTTTCAAATTTGCTGGGATAACTCTTAGGAAAATGGAAAAATGACCTCCCTAAAATACCTTTCCAGTCAAATTTAATTTCAGAAAAATTGCTATCATTATAAATGCGTGTAGAAAAATTGTTCACAGGAAAAAAGAAAGCAGTAATATATTCTTTTAACTAATTCTAATATTTCTTATATTTTACCGTTTTTCCTCTGTTTTTTTTTCGGTTTTTCAAATTTGATGACAAAATTTCTTAGAAAATCGAAAAATGAACTCTTTAAAGTACCTCCCTAATCAATTTTCCTTTAAGAAACATTGCTATCGTTATAAGTTTGAGCAAAATTGCTGGTTGAAAAGTTGTGCACAGGAAAAACATCGTAATATTTTAGTAGTATATTTCGTATATTGCTAATGAAAAACCATTTTGAGCGAAGTTCGGTTAATAGTGTTGTTTTTTGAACAGTATATATATGTCATATTACGATAAAATCATTCATATGCATTATACATTTTCTTTATTTATATTTGTTTAATATTGTATCTATTTTCCCGGTTTTTCTCGGTATTACTATGTTTTTCAAATTTAATTATTCTGGGGAAAATTGAAAAAAATGGCTTCTCTAAAGTATCACCCCAGTCAGATTCATTTTCAGAAAAATTGCTATCGTTGTGAATTGGAGCAAAATTACTGGTAGACAAGTTGTTCACAAATAAAAAAATAAATAAAAAAACATCATTGTAAAACCAATGCAATCCTCGCTCTGCTCAGATTAAAAAAATACGGAATTATACTTGGTGGAGGTTCAAACTGGAGATTCATATTAATGGATAGAGGAAGATGAATGTGAAATTTAATAAAGATCCTTAGAGATTTATTAACTAGAGAAAAAGAATAAAATGTAAAACCGTTGGTACCATTTAAAATAATACTATATTTTTAAATAGTTGGTATCTATATGCATTGGTAATATATATATATATATATATATATAGACACGGAATGGAATAAGGCTAAAATATTGAAAATATTATTATTATAAACATAATATCGATTATAATGACTGATAGGAAAAAAAAAATTTAAATACAAATGTTCAAGAAATCTTTGTACCTATATAATATAATAAAATACATCATATTTAGAACACCGATAAAAATTGAACGTGTAATTTTTTTGTCGTAATTATTGTTGCAAACATGTTTTGACTAACGGTTTACAACTGCAAAACTGCACGTACAGCATTTGGCCTACAAATTAAAATATACCTATATATGTTGATAATGTAATAATTATAACTTATGGTGATGATAACGTACTGCTACTATTCGTGTAATAATTATTAATTTATATAATATGTAAATCATTGTAATGTCGGCTGTTCGTATACATTATATACCTAATACATGTGTTGGTGTATGAGGAGATAACATATTCTTTTGAATTTAGATTCGACAATGGATACACGTCGATTATGTATATACCACGTACAGACGGGTACTTAATCTGCATAGAGAGAGTTCAAATCGCAAATTCTGAATGAAAACCGATTACCTATATATAAGAATAATAACTACAGATTACAATATTATAAATTTACTACATTGGACACAATATTATTTTAATGATAACAATCGTGAAAAAAAATTATTAAGAATTCCGATAGTCAATTATATTAAAAGAAAAAATGTAAATATAATGATTGCAGTACGCATAGCAAATAAACTGAACTAGATTCGAATATTGCACGTAGGTACCTACGTATGGTATGAATGAAAATGCAAGTTTCATCGGAAACCCTGGCAGACCTTGTTTTAACGGACCAAAACTGGATGTGACGGGAAATGTAATCGGTGCAATTGGCTCCGGAAATTTGAGAGTATATATACGCGTAACGTGTTGCAAAATTAAAAAGCTGGTTCAGTTTCTTAGTAAATTCTATTCACGTAAATTCGTGTTTATATTTATTATAAACAAGCACAATAATATTCCCATTAGACATTTCTCATGTCTCGTCGTATTGTTTCTGGTATTTGGAAATCGAAGAAGTTTTTACATTTTATAATTTTTTTAAAAAAGGAATTGGGGTGCTATTGGCTTTTCGAAATAGGAAAAAGTCCTTAGAATAAGCTCCGAACGATATACGTTCGGAACTTCGGAGTAGTAAAATATTTTAAAATCACGTTTACAATAGGTTCTTTAAGAACGATAACTGTTCGTTTCTGCCAAACTACCCACGTCGAAAGCACTCGTAAAAGCAATTTATTTCTAACTGTTTTCGAATGATCGTTTGTAATATTTAATAAGCACCGCGTAATATATTATTACATGCATTTTCAAAGCCCGTCTTAAATAATTAATAATAATACGATAACTGTATTAACAATATATACAGGAACAAACGAAAACACGATTAGGTACCTACATATATATTGTATACAAATACAATTGAATTTGCCAAAAATAATCGACGAGTATTCTCTTGAGTTTTGTTTGAATTTATCTGTAAAATCCACGCGATAAAAGTGAATTTTTGCAGTGAACGTAATAATGCGCGTTATATTAATTATTGACGTCATCTTTGATAAAACACCATCGACCGACATTCAATTAAGACATATTTATTTAAATAAATGAACAATAATTTCAAATTGTAAAAACAGAGCAGACGATTTTTATTAAAAGTACAATTAACACTTGCGGTTTTCAGAACGTAAGTCCTGAGTATTTTATGAAAATGTTTATTGAAAAGAAAAGAAAAAGAAAAGATCTAAAAAGGAATTTTTTAGCATTGATAATTTCTCTCCTAAACGATTTGACCAAATAATTAAAAATATCGGCATTTCATCCTAACGAATTGCGAAATCACTAGATTTTTGTTACGTTTATAGAAACGTGTATTTTTTCCTGTAAATTTCTTATGACAAATCATTTTTGACTCGGTATCGTTTTCATACTTCTACACTAACGGTATTCTATCGTAATAATAATACACCAATATCCGAAGTATAATTTATTAATAATAAATAATAAACAATAACATTGGCCAAAAAATATGAAATTCTATCTGTTTTGTAGTGTTTTTTAGTATGGGTTAATATATATAATATATAATCGCAGTTATTACGTGATGTGATAACATATTACGGCTGGTTGTTTTCAAACATTTATGGAACTCTATGACTGAAAAAACGATAGAAATAATAAATATGATAATATTTGTTTTCTTAACTTTGAATAAAATATATAAAACTGACACAATAGTTAATCGGTATTATTAGCCGTTCATAGAGAATTAATCTCAAAGAAGTTTTGATGCCTTGGTTCAGAAAAAAAAAAATGGATCTTATTCTATAAGTGTATTAATTAAAATAAAAGTGGTTTATATATGAAGAATATTAATAATAATATGTATTGAAATTAAATGTGTATTTCATGGTTTCTATGAGGGTGTGGGAACATAAGTCACACCCTTACTAGAAACTAAGAAAAATGAAAGTGCCAGGAACAGAACATATACAATCTAGAGTCTTATAGTCTAGTCAGATAGTCTTGGTGAAATCAGAATCAATTTTCGTCATTATAAATACCACGGTAATAGAACCCGGAAAGAAAGAGACCCCTTGGACGCTCTTGTTTAAGACAGAACGATGTGTTGAACAGAAATGTAGAATATTTAAATGGAGAGTAAGAATGGAATGGAAGACCAGCCAGCTAACAGGGATAATTGGAGGATTGGGTGTTTGACAGGAATGACCGATAACTCTAGTAATAAAAAGAAGAAGGTACTTGGGTCGTTGAATGGCACAAAAACGAAATGTTTTATGCTCGAGTCCTTTTGGTTCTGGACGTGCATCATAATCTGCTTGGCTTGCGAACGCAATTGGCTTAAATCATTATACATGGAGCCAGATGTGTCGAAAACAAAAGCCAAACTCCTGTAAACGTCCTCGGAATTCGATATTGTGGTGGTAGTGCTCAGCATCACGGCGGCCAGCAAGCAACTCACTGCCAATGGATTCCTCCGACGCATTACTTGAATTTAATATCATTCAAATAATTTTTTAATTTTCACCATATTATATTAAAATATTTAAAACATATTATTATACGTATTAATACTGTATTATAAATAATCACTCGCGTCACAACCAGGACGGATATATCGTCATCATAAGTCGCTATAAGTGTAAAATTATATTTAAATGCCTTTATTATTCCATAGGTACAAATAGCACAAATATTTTGTGGGGATGAACCCCTAGCATATTTATTGTGTATAATATATCTACATACTTATAATAATCATACGATATAAAACATTGATTAAGGCTTGGCTGAGATTTGGGAGTCTAAACCTCTAAATCCACCCCATTTGCGTCGGTGCTTATTTTGTTTCTACATACGAGAATGTAAAACGTATGGACAAAGTGTCCAAGTGATATCACACATTGTATAATAACCATTTAACACATAATTCCTGATAGAAATTACAATTAAAGTTTAAATACGCTCAAAATTTAAAAAAATTAAATTTTAAAATCACTTCATGTCGTCGTGATTTTTCGAATATCTAAACAAATTAGTCGAAAATCAAATGATGCGTGTCATGATGGTTCCGGTGCATTTATATACTTTTTTAATAAACTAATGCATAACATATTGTACATTTATGTGGAATGAACGCAGTCAGGTTAATAAAAGCGAATTCGTATAATTCTCTATATTATTACGGGTTTTTTTTATTCGACTCACTCACATGAAAAACCGTTACCTGCAGTAGTTACGTATACGTATATAACCACCAGCCACCACAAATGGTTACAGATATATAACAAAATAATAATATACGAGTACTACTAAACATTTTACTTAAATAATTCATCGCGGGTTAAAAAAAAATAAAAACGGAATAATCTATACCTACTATAATAAAATATGCAAACATATGTTACGGGAATTTACTGATCGGCCGATAAAATGAAAAACGCTTCTCGATTTTCTGTACCTACATTTAAAAATCATAGTGTTTACAGTCGTATATTATTATCGCAAGAAATTTGTTGAATAATTAAACATTTCGGAAAAATCGTCATGCAAAACCTTTTAACATTTATTTAAATCGATAATAATTAATATTACTATTATCTGCCTGGCCGTTTAGTTTACGATCGCTAATAAATATAATGAAAACATAATAATATTATACCGTCTCGGATTCTCCATAATTTCGAAAAACCTAGTCTCCTCAGGAATGACAATCAGATAACTTCGGTCTTTTTGAATATTTATTTTATTAAAATTATAAATTCTCCGTGGTTTTGATAAAATTTCAATCGGACGAAGCAGATACTATAATAATATATTCTGTACCTAACACAGGAAGTAAATAACGCAAATTTAATGTTTAAAAAATATCTTGTCAGTTCCATAATCAAAGTGTTATTTTTTAAGGTACCTTATAAATCTGAGTCCAACATACGATAAATTCATAAATAACAAAAGATATGTAATATAGAGATGCTAAGATAATATTTAAGTCTTAAACTTGTATATAAGGAGTATGGGAACGCATGACTCCTATTTTAGACAGATTTTTGTAGCTTTGCGTTGCTTGTCTTCTGTTGGACATTTTATACCTATTATTAGCATATTATAGTTTTCGACGGCAAATCGTCTCGTTTCTGGATCACATTCAGAAAAATCCGAATAGTAAAAACTTGTTTTTTTTTTTTGTTATCGCTCTTGAACGATTTCAAAAAGTGTGTGGTTATCCGCGAGTGTCGTGGTTCAGGTCTTTCCGGGTAGGTGATTTCCCCTTAGCTATATTTCAAGTGTCTGCGCATTCGACAATAATATAATAATTGAAACGCATCCGTCGCGCATAAGACAAGGTATGGAAATTAATTATGCGACATTCGCCGAGACATAAAAAGAGAAAAAAAACCCCCATATCGTTGTACAATTATGCAGACATATTATTGTTTCTTGCGATCTTGTCGGCGTGTACAATTAAAAAGGAAAATACGCGCGGTTTATTTGATTTTAACAAAAGCAATTATATTATTTTAATAATGGATAATTATCGTATACAATTATACAATATTATAATGCTTACATATTCTAGAAAACTGTCACGAACACTGTGAAACTGAATAATAATTAATGTTATTCTTTTTAATGTTTAAAGACAAATTAATTATATAATAAGGTACCTATTTTATTTTAATATGATATACAAATAGGTCTGTAGATAGGTACATAGATAAGTGTAGGTACTTATTATAGAAATTCATCAGTTTCAACAATCGAGTCACGCGTATAATGATTATATTGATTGTGCATATTAAACGCGCGACGACGGGTAATTTCAAAATTTCAATTAACGTTCTGCACGGCCAATATCGCCATTATATTATATTATTATCCATTTTAATTATCAATCGCGGAATAAATGTCCAATGGAATAACTTTGCCGCCCGGTAAGTACAAGAATGCCATTTACAACGGTGACCGCGCGTGGCACTGCCGAGGAAATTGCCGGGACGGTTCCGCTAGACTCGCCGCGGAAAATAGGGTGTATTATAATAATATAATTTAGCTGAAACCGCGAAGTGTTTATAATAATAGTAAATCTAAACTATTCATCAAGAAGATTGAAATCGGTGATTTTCGTTCTTTGTCCGTGTACAACACACTGCGTAACATATTATTATCATCGTCATCATTATTATTATTTTAGAAATTGTGTGGTGTTTTTTATATGTACCGATTGATCTATAAAAAATAATTATATTATATAGGTATACGTGGCTGCAAGAATATCAAAATATGGAAAAAATGGAAAAATTAAATTTATTTCCAAAAATCTAACGTTAGGTCCCTAATTATATTGAAATACGTTTTTTTTGTTTATTTTTTTTTTGTTTGGCATTGACCATTCTTGTCACCAAACCACAGATAATATTAACTGGCGTGGCCGGATTTAGCCTGAGTATAACCCTATAGGCACGTGTTTATTTCATCACCCAATTGTAAAGTCGTTTTAGAAAAATGTTCACTTTTTTTTTGAAACGTTGACATTTTATTTATATAGCGTTAGAAACGAAAATTGATAAACACATAATTCAAATCAAACTGCGACTGACTGCCTATTTAAATGCTAACAAATCCTTTTTCTAAGTTTTTACGAACTTGTAAAGTCATATCGTTTATATCAACGGTTTTAATAGTAGCTAGTCAATTTTTAATAAGGTTAACGGGTTCAATCTCTCATCTGAAATAATGAAATGCATGTGTAATATTACGTCATCTTTTTTTAGAAGAAATTATGTGCATATCGTTTCGTAAATTTACAATAGGTATACTTAGAATTGGATTAACACTGTGTAGTCTATCATAACTAAAACTAAAAGTCTAGTTGTAAAATTATCTTAATAGTGATTTGGGTTTTATGATACACAATTTTACTTCTTACATAAAATATTTTATTATGCAAGCTATTGTGTATAACTAGAGAAAAATAGCCTCTGTCATTGCCTAATCCTATAGGCACGCGCCTGTTTCATCTATATGTAATCAGTGATGAGAATATTTTAAAAAATTGATGTTAATTATAATCAACACTAACAATTTTAGATTTTTTTTTTTTTGTAGAATAAAGTCAGATAAAATAAAAACCATGGGAGAGTCAATCCAGTTTAGAATCGATAGTAAATTCAATTCTGTTTTCAGAATATTTGCTTCGTTAGATCAATAGGTACGTTGGAAATATATCTTAAGTATATTCTATTCAATTTCCTTATAAATGCTTTGTCACTGCCAGTTTAAATTTGCTTTGTAATATAATTCTTACAACCGTGTATTATATGTACCGGTACAACTTTGGGAAGGCATAAGTTACACCGGAATAGTTTAGTTTAGATATCTGTTTATATACCTAAAGTATCCAACTTCAATTTTTCGTGTCCATTTATTGCTTATCGTATCTATCAATAAATAATTACAAACGAAAAATGATTCTGAGCGAAGTTCAAAAATATATGTGATAATATATGTTACAAAAATATTATATATATTATATGCTATATTTTTGAAAAAAAAAAATTATCAAAAAAAACTAACGGTTGTGTGCCACTGTTGTACAAGGGAAGTTAAGTTGGTAGGATACTCGAAATAATCTAATCTATACGAAACAATAAATAATTCCTAACAAAATAGAAATTTTGTTAAAAAATGTTTTCAAATGTCGTCGTTTTCACGAACTTAAAACACTTATAAAAAAGAACGACTATATTACGTATAACTTTTTATTTTTCGAACGCTAAGTACAACTTACGATGTGTGTTAAATTTCCAATCAGTTCTTTACGACTCAATAAATTATATTCATACTCACCTAAAACTAATTAAAAGTTAAAAACATCTCGAAAATGGCAAATACCTATTAATAGTTCGACAAGAAGTACCTATATATATATCAAAATATTTCAAAGCCTCCACGATTATTTTTTACCGAATTACAAGAAAGAAACGGAATCGTTTTTATCGGTTTTCTTGAGTTTTTGTAAAACTACAAGGAAAATCGATCTTCCCGGTTTATCAACAGGACTACATTTTTTTTTCAGAAACCATATTATTTTTTAAAATTAAAGGGATATTTCCGGTAGAAAAGCTGTTTACAGACACAAACAATTAAAAAAAAAAAACCCCGCACAGAATGTATAGTAGATATCCGAAAAATGATATATAATGAAAATAAACATATTATATCATCAAAATGGTATGTATATTATAATGTTATCATATTCAAACCCTTAAATATTAAATCCTACCTAGATTTTTGTTATCATATTCAAATAAGAATTTTGGTTAGTAAATTTCGGAGAGGGATTGAAAACATTAACTGTATAGGTTTTTCATTGGTATACACTACACTAATACATATACTTGTAATTGTACACGATATTAAATAATTGGTACTTCTATTCGCTTTTACGTTTATTTTAGGAAAATACAGCAGCGAAAAAACATAAACATCCTCGGTAACATCCTGATAAAAAAATACAAAATAATCACCATAATGTTATGATAGTGACGATAACAATAATATGTACCAATTGTTAGCCCGAAAGACAATACTAATCTAACACTAAATAAATAGATATTATTATTTTTGTATGATATTGCTCAATAAATAATGTATCATTTTTAATTGAAAATAGTTTCATATATAATTTAGCCCCAAGAGAAATTTTTCCATTTTACCATATAGTATTGTAATATTATATGTATATATATTTTTCTGTTTATAAAATAATAACGTTTGTACACATAAAAGTAATATACTGTAAATTCGCATGTTATTATTATTTTTTTTTTTTGATATTACAGATATATTTAAAAATAATAATAAAAATGAGTTGATACTGAGTGGCGGGTTATATACTGATGTAGGTGGGTAGTTAAGAAGGTGGTATGCATAAAGTTTTTTACTTTTACCTGTAACCGAAAATAAATAATTGATAACAATAAACGATTCGAAGTGAATTTCGGTTATTCATGTTTTGAAAGGCCGTAATATTTTACGATTTTTGTTTAAATTTGATATTCTATTTACAGTGAATTCTTATTGAAAAAAAAAATACAATTACTATTATGATTATTTTTTTTTTTTTGAGGACAAAGTATGACTTATAGTGAATCTAGTGAATCTCCTTTCAAATTGTCAAGCATTTCTGTTTAGTATTAACAATTTTAACTCCAAGTACGTATATCAAATAAAAATTATATAAAAACTCCCATAATTATAAAGTCTAAAAAAAAAACTGAAACATGGTTCAAATGGATTAAAAATTTTACCACGTCTAGAAAATACAAATATAGGTTTACTATCGTATCTTTAAGTTAACGATTTTTTTAAACTGAATTAAATTTAAAAAAAAAAAAACAAAATTTAAGATAATAAAATAATTATTCTTGTAAATTGTCCCGTTCTTTTTACATATTTTTCGGTTTTCTCTTATTATTGATAAAATCACAGAGAAAATTAAAAAACGACTTTCTTATTCACCAACTGGATTAAAGGGCTCTTGTAGTCTTTCTAATAGAGCAATATTAATGGTAAAACATACACTGTACAAATTTTAAATTATAAAAACGTGCAGTAATTTGAAAGAATTCATAATATTTTTTTTTGATTCTTTACAATTATTATGAAAACTACTTTAAATATAAAAAAAAAGAAAACGAAAAAATTTGCACTGTCAGTAGCTATGAATTAAAATGAACAAAATCGTCTCTTGTCATTTTCCTATTGTGTATACAAATTTAAAATATTAAAATCGGTAACGAAACGAAGCGCCATAAATATTTACCGTTTTATCTATAATTTTCTTTAGAGTTTTTCCCAATTTTTTCGAAAATCCTTTAGAAAATCAAAAAATGATCTACTGAATGCGCCAATTAGAGAAAATTACCTTTTAAAAAAATGGCCCATACTTGATATTTTAGATAAAAATATCTGATAGAAAAGATACTCACATATAAATAATAAAACATACATCATAGTAAAATTAATAAATTCCTCGTTACGCTCCGAATCTAAAAAGTAGTAGGTATTACAATTTTTTTTTTGATTATACTTACTCATTTTGAGATTGGAATAACATATAATATTGTATTTAATATAGAAAAGAAGAAAAAACAAATTTATGCGGCTACAAAAAATTACAGTTTAAGTTAAACAACAATAACAATATTGTATTTTTTATTATTATACAATATTATATTGTAATAATTGAATGTAAATTTATGTGACGCGATGGTTCTCCGTCTTACGGTCTCAATCAAATGTACGACTTAGTGGTGTATACGAGACGAAAACAATAATAACTAATGGTTAGGTAAAATCGCATATCATTATCATAATTAAGGTCATTAAGTCTAATTGATAATAATAATATTATAGCCTATATAGGGTGTTCTAGGAAAGAATAGCCAACTTTACGACGAGGTGTTACTTTATGTGTGACTATAAGAATATGTATTTTGGAACTTTTTTTTAATATCAAAACTGGGTTAATCGGTTTTATTTCTAAAATATCCATGTAAAATGAAAATAAATCACACCAGTGAATTTCTTGTAAATTTCCCTGAAAAAATAATGGGCCCCTTTAATTTTTTCCAAAAATAATCATTATCACCGTTATTTTTTGACTTTTTCCAAAATTGTAATTATTGTGTGTCACATGAATTTATATATAAATTCGGCAGAGTTTTCGATGAAATCAACTATTTTTTTAAGAGCGCTAATCTTATGATCCTATCAGAAAAATGTCTACTCAAATGTATAGCCATTTATAACATCTGTAGAGTTGGCTATTCTTTTCTGGGACACCCTGTATATCCATACATACAAGTATAACACATAAATATACTTATTTATAATTTTTTTTTTCGATTTCAGTTCAAAGGTCATGTTTTGTTAACCATATATTATAATAGTTCCGTATAGTTTAATAATATTAATGAATTGAACTCGTATCGCATACTCATTTACGCATATTTTAGTAGGTATACATATTATAATTATTATATTTAGTGTACTTGATCTAAAAAAAAATAAAACATATTTTACCTTTCTACTATAATATTGCGTATACAAAATGTGTATTAAACCGCCGTAAGCCAGAGGCTTAGCTGGGTGAGGGCCGTAAATGCACTATTGCATCCCTCTCCTCCAAATGGGTCGTATTTTATATACGGATGCCATATGATTTTAGCGTTAAATCAAATGTTTCCAGTTATTTCGCCCAGTCATAAAATAACGTTTTGTACACCGAACTACCGTAGATGAAAATGAGGCCACGAATTATGCCTGAAAATTGACTCAACGGATTAGCCGTAGCTTATATAAATTTAAAAAAGAAGACTTTAATGAAAACGATATAATTTAGTAAGTAATGCCCTTTGCTTGAAATTTTCTTTGGAGGATACAGGTGTCAGACAGGTATATTCTGTATAATGTATTAAGTAGATATAAACAGGATGTTCCACGGACATGGCATACCCACTGTAATATCTTTGGAAATAATAAAGATAATGAAATTATATATATGTATTTTTTATATTATTCATAGGAATAAGGAATACAAATATTTATATTTCAATTATATATTTATGCTTTGATAAAAAAACTTAAAAATATAACTTTTATTTTTTATTAAATTTGTGATTTTACATTCAGAAACAAGTACCTATAATTATGCAGCAGGCTGTAATCGAATTCTTTAATTGGTTATTATTGTTATTACGATTAATTGACTGTACACTTCTTTTTTCTGAACTATAAAAAATTAAAACGTTCTTTAGAGAGGTCTTTTTTTTAATTTTCCCAAGGGTTTTCATAATAAATTAAAAAACCGGGGAAAACGAAGGAATATCGGAAAAATGTACGAAATGTATTATTTTCAAATTGTGAATATTAACGATTTGAAAATAATATTACCATAACCGTAATATAACGGCCTTTTAAAACATGTACAACCAAACTCCGCTCAGAATCATTTTTTGTAAGCAATGAATAATAATTAATCGTTATATACAGATATATGTTACATTCTTTTCTATATATCCTACCTTCCCAACTTCTCACCTACAACAGTGGCTTTTCCATCGTGCGAAGTATGTCCGTTTTTTTTCAACATGAAACCAGAATTCATTTATTTAAAAATGTTTGTATTGTGATAATAGAGTTCGATTGTTTCGAATTTCAGCATTTCTTCTTCTTTCTGCATTCAGTAAAACTTATATTTCTGTGAAATGGGTTCAATGGAATCCAATTATGTTTTGAAATAAATATTTGCTACAGACACATAAGCTACATATTTGAAGTAATTTCACGGCACCTTAAATTCAAGTTCGCGGTATTTTAGTTGGCCACCTCTGACGTAAGGTATGCTTTGTAGCCGAAATCGAGCGTTGTCACCAAACCTCTAAATTCTTATATAAATTAACATATTTTTTTGTTTACCGCCGTGTACAAAATCTACGCTTATTGCACAGCACACTACAATAAAAATATTATGTTACATAGCTACATAGGAATTATTATTTTAACGTAAATTTAATATTCTAAAATCTGTTCTATACGAGTAAATAATAATATAGTGCGCAGGAGTATTATAATAATCGATAGAATATATATTGAACAGTTTGAATGGTACATATAAGAATATTAATTTGTGATGTGCATACGTACAAAGTTTGTATAAGTAAGTATACAACAAAATACTCGTATATATTATATATCTCGAGCGCACCAACCGTCGTATCATAATAATATTATAATATTCGACGTTCTGATATAGAAGTTGAACTTGTCGGAAACATTTTGTTTCAATATTGCACATTATTATAAACTATGTAATATATTTACAGAGATTTAATGACGTGCAGACCGATATTGCCATGTCGACAGCGATAAATTCGAATATTGTTTACGATTTTAATCGTCACGTGGGCGGTTGACAGGCATGCTATATGAAACGTACAAATAATATTAAAGAGGATATATTTTGTGAGAAAATCCGAAAACCGATATCGTTATCAGAGTTTACGCATTATCGCTCTTCGTAATATTACTATTTGTTTTTTTTTTTATAGATGACCCGGTAATGCTATACTATTGCTACGCAACTAAATTAAATTGAAAATAAAACATTTAGACACTTAACTCTCTTTCTACTTGTCGGATTAATGATTTCAATGGCTAAACACCTGTTATTAGACAACGTGGATCATTTTGAAAAAAACCGTATAAAAATCGGTCAAGTAATTTTTGAATCTAATAATCTCGGATAAATCAATGTTCATATTTTCTATAAACACACACATATATATACACTATGTATATATATATATATATATTTAAAAAGACTATGACGTAATTTTGTTAACAATAATATACTGAAAGCAACGATAAACAATAACAATCAAAAAACAATTCCCAACTCATGGTAAATAGGTAATCAGGTAAGGTGTTCCACGATGATCTACAACTTGAAATAATTTTTGTTCTATTCAATATTTTTATATTTTTAATAATTAGTATGCATCTGCGCTACAATTTATATATGAACATTTTTTTTTTTTTAAGGGGAGAGGAACTTAAATAAAAAATTTTTCATTTTACTATAATTAATAATAAATTGGAAAATACTGGAAAAAACATAGGGAAAACGGGTAATGTAGGTATTAGTTAAAAAATATTGCGGCCTATAGTTTTTCTTGTGAACAATTTTTTATCAGAAATTTCACTTCGATTTTTCAATGATAGTACTTTTTCTGACTGGAGAGGTACTTTAAGGAGGTAATTTTGTGATTTTCCCAGGATTTTTCCCTATAAATAAGAAAAACGGGAAAATAGGTATAATATTAAGAAAATGTTATTAAAGAAAATGTTTAAAGCATATGTAATTATTTTATCATAATATGAAATAATATATTGTAAACAAAGCAACATTATCAACCAAAATCCGCTCAGAATCGGTTTTCATTTGCAATGATTTATCGTTGCGTACAGATTTAAATTGAATTCTCATCTCCGATCTCTTAGAACAGCTTTTTTTTTGAAACCGTCGGCAGTCAAGAAAAATTATTCAATTAAATCCCTTCACACCCGAGCAGGGTCGGACAGGCTTACCTTGACACCGGGATTTTCCTAGTGGGCAGCCTTCTTTGTTGACAAATCAGCTCGTGGCGATAGCATAAAGACTGTGAAATAGATCACAAAAGTCACATTTTTCTTGGGCTGGCCTGTACCTACATAATTATCTGCATAAAACATCTCTGTACCAAAGAGAAAACCGTAGTTTTCATCGTACTGTGTGAATGATATTTGATGTATTTTTTATTTATTAACCGAAATGCGTATACAGTCGAAGTATATATAATTATTACCTATAAATTAGAGTAAGTGCGTTGAAAAACAAAAAAAAAAAAATAGTCTGGTTTAGCGATAATATCATAAAATAGATTTTTTTTCTTTTATGAGTACAAGGGTTAACATAAATATAATAATATCATATGGTATTATTCTAGCAAAATAATTATCGGCGGTACGTTACAAGTCTTTTATAATTGCGATTCTAATCCGCTCGTAATGGTGTGCATACAACAATAATATCACGTTGACACATATTAGGTATATATGTACAATATAATGACTTATACGTTCTAATTTCGTAATCAAACGGTATTTTTTATTTGAAATAATTATGAGTTTAATACCAAGATAATTTATCATTAAATTCTGCAATTAAAAATTATCGCGGGATTTTTGCGGTCAAAAACCTCATTAAAGTCCTTAAAATTATTAATAAATATTAATGAATCAATGGAGTTTACTCTCAATTTAGACTTGTTGAAAAAAAAAAAAATGTGAGTATAAAAGTTTTGGTTCGCCGGTTCATTTGCTCTCTATTCGATAATTACGTATTCATAGTATGGATATAAGGTATATGGGTATCTTTTTGTCATACATAAATCAAATATAATATGAATTTGAAACTATAGACAAGACCAAAATTAAGTAATAGATCCCAAAATTTTGATAAAAAAAACCATTATTATCACCTTATAGTGATACAAAAAAAAAAAAAACCAATTCAATTTTCTATTTTTAATAGTATAATACAGTATTATTTTTATAAGGATATAAGCAGAAAAGTGTTGAATATATTCAGGTCAAATTTTTCAGGTTATACCTTTGCGTAGAAGGTCCGATTCGCCTATTGTAATATTATATAATATGCATTTTTGAAATACATTTGACAAATTTAAGACATTTTGA